CCCCCCCCCCCCCCCCCCCCCCCCCCCCCCAAATAACCCCTTAAACCCTAACCCTCAACCCTCACTTATTGCACCTTTCTGATCGCCCTCCCCTTTTTCCCTCCTGGCCTCTAAGCCGGCAGCCGAGCCGACGGACTTCCAGGAGCATTGGCCTGGGAGGATTCCCACGAACAGCCTAGGAGCCCGAATTCCAAAAGAGGGTTTAGGGTTTAGGGCTTAGGGCTTAGGGCTTAGGGCTTAGGGTTTAGGGCTTAGGGCTTAGGGCTTAGGGCTTAGGGCTTAGGGCTTAGGGCTTGGGGCTTGGGGCTTAGGGCTTAGGGCTTAGGGCTTAGGGCTTAGGGCTTAGGGCTTAGGGCTTAGGGCTTAGGGCTTAGGGCTCAGGGCTTGGGGCTTAGGGCTTAGGGCTTAGGGCTTAGGGCTTGGGGCTTGGGGCTTGGGGCTTGGGGTTTGAGGCCTCAGGGTCGAAGGGGCACATAAGCCATAGGGGGCCGTCTGTGATTTTGCACGTTCAGCTCTTAAACTCCCAAATCGTTCCCACTTCACTCCCTATCCCCTGACCCTGAGCCTGCAACGCTTAAACCCTCAACCAACCCTAGACCCCATTTGAAAAAACCCTAAGCCCTAAACCCGTAAACCTAAAACCTCAAACCCTTAAACCCCTAAATGCCTAAACCCTTAAACCCTAAACCCTAAAACCCTCAACCCTAAACCCTCAACCCTCAACCCTCAACCCTAAACCCTAAACCCTAAACCCTAAACCCTAAACCAGGGCCCTGTGAACTGGGGAGTCGGCAGCAGTAAGCTCGCGAGCCTTGCTGTCGTACCAGGCACCTCCTGGAGAGGGTCTCAGGCTGCTTTGTCCCCTACTTCCCATTAGAGAGGGTTTCGGGTTTCGGGTTTAACATTTGAGTTAGATTTGGGGTTTAGGGTTTAGGGTTTAGGCTTTAGGGTTTAGGCTTTAGGCTTTAGGCTTTAGGGTTTAGGGTTTGGGGTTAAGGGGGTTCCTTCGGTCCTTTTCAGCCAAAACAGCTCTAAGACAACTAGGACGAAGTTGTCCGCTGGGGGTGAATCCAAGCATAACTTAGCTCCCCAACCCTATCGAATCCCTAAATGTAAGGGGAAAGATGTTTCCCCATATTTGGCAGCTGTGCAGACATTGTTCACCATACCTTTCTTGTTGACTGGAGTTTGAAAGAAAGCCAACCGTGATAGTAAGGATTCTCGAACCTGCAACCCGATACAGCCTCCTTAGACCCCTAAACCCTATGTAGAACAGCCACGCAAAAGCCCGAAACCCGGGAGCAGGTACACGCGTGTAGCGTAGTTGGGCTCTGGCAGTAGCAGCTGGTAGCAGGATTCACAAGTTAAGGCGCTTTGAGACTTGACGCGCTGGCGTGGTCCTGAGCTTCTCGAAGCTGGGGTAGTTGTTCCGGAAGAACCTCGACACAGTCTGCACTTTCCCACCTCGTGGCATTGAAAAGTTAAGAGTTCTTCTTGACAGAAAGACTTGGCAGGAGAAAAAAAGGCAGCAAGCACATCGCCAGAGCTAGGCCGTCTGCATGTAATCAACATCTCCGTTCCACACGAAGTCGTCGCACACCAAGACCTTTGCCAAAGACATACATTGGCTGAGATGCCTCCTGTCTTAAGGGGCAGGATTTAGATTTACGGCTGTGGGATGAGCGCCCAAGGATAGTTCACTGGAATCGGCATAGCCCCTGTTTGTATCTTTGACTCTGTCGATTAAGCACATCCCCGACAACAACTCGTTGCATGCATCGCCGCATCGCCGCAGCCAGACGTTTACATCATGTCCAAACCTTCAATCCTTGTACTACAGGAACTAGGTTGGCCGTTTGAGGCCCCTGCATAACTTGCTGAAGTAAGATCCTGTTAAACCCAAGGAGTGACAATAGCGCAGCCTTCTGTGAAGCATGTGAACAGTGGAACAAAGAGCAAGAAGTATCCCAAGGGCCTACCTCGTCAATCCTGGTGCTACATCGAGAGCATCCAAGCCCTGCGCCTGAAAGTCGCATCCCATGCAATGAAAATTCTTCAGCAGCCTCAGGCGATTTGGGGCTGTGGAGTCGGCAATGCAAAGCATGCATGCGTTTGAAGGTTGCAGTCAGGCACGGGGGGGAGGGGGGAGGATAAAACGGAACTTTGGGGCCTGGCCTAACTGAGGCCATGCCAGGGTTTATATACATACAATGGCAGCACAAGGAATGGACCCAGCAGATGTGTGGCCAGTCCTGCATTTCTAAGAAGCAGAAAACGTCTGTGTCAAGGAGGAGCAGGCGTTCGCAGGCTGAGGGGCGAGATCACGCATTCACACATTCACGTGCGTCGTTTGCGCCGTTGCAAGAGCCAAGATTAGCCAAGTGGCCCGTGACCGATGACCGTTGCATCAGTGGCAAGCATTTCGCCAACCAGATCATCCTCAGACAATAACAGCAAAGGTCTCTCTCTCTCTATATATATATATGCGTGTGTGTGTGTGTGTGTGTGTGTGCATAAGGCATGTATCTATATGTGTCTATACATTATATATACATATATATATATATACTTGTTTATTTATGTATTTATATTTATATATAGCTGTTTTTATTTATATATATGTCTTGATATTTCTTTATATTTCTTCATATTTCTTTATATTTCTTTATATTTCTTGATATTTTTCCATTTCTCTGTATTTCTTTACATTTCTTTATATTTTTTACATTTCTTTATATTTCTTTATATTTCTTTACATTTCTTTATATTTTTTACATTTCTTTATATTTCTTTATATTTCTTTACATTTCTTTACATTTCTTTATATTTCTTTATATTTCTTTATATTTCTTTATATTTTGTTTATTTCTTTATATTTCTTTGTATTTGGTTATAGTTAGTTATATTTTGGTTATATTTATTATTTAATTCTATTTAGTTATGTTTGTTTATATTTATTTATATTTATTTTATGTATTTATATTTATTTACATCTATGCTGTATTTACGTACACTTATCAAGGGCACCATTGAGTGATATTGGGTAGTAGAATTAAGGGTCTTATAGGGATCCCACACACCATCATGCCTGAGTTGTCGTATCTGCTAACCCCCGGCCCCCCGCCCCCAAAGAGAAACGAAGGGTCGACGATGCTCGCCCAGCGGCCCCTATAGGGTCTGCCTGAGGGGTTTGGAATGGTTTGAGGTGTCGAGATTTGGGGAGTGAGAGGATGTCCCAGATGCAAGCGCAACCGTTTCTGCCAATTGCTGCAGCAGCGCTCTGCAATCAGCAGAACTGCTGCCGCCACCAGTCTCAGCCCAGCCCAGGTCAGAACGGCAGCAGCAGCATTTAGGGTTTCTGCAGACTCATCGCCGAATGTCACATTGCGTCGCTATCGGCATCCGATTCACAACACAGACACATAATTGGGGGCTTGCTGAGCTTGTGCGCAAACAGGTCGAAATTGGTAGCCTCCCTCGTGCGCCCGATGTAGAAATTAGTATGACGGATGTAAGCGTATTCCCCATCGCATTTCGTGGAGTATCGCGAGGAAAAGCTTCCCATCTTGTGAACAAACTCAACCGGCACTTTGATGTCGCCCTTGCCATACATTTCCAGCAGTCGACACACTGCCAAGCGACGGTTGCTGATGGACACAGAAGCTCCGTTGTGCTGTACGATATACATGAGAGGCAGATCCGCTGGCGAGAGATTCCGCTGGTGCAGTGACAAGAACGTGTCCTTGATGCTGTACTTCCCACTTGAGAACACTGACCCGACGGCATGGTGTGAAAAGCGTATTTGCGATGGACGCAAGTACAGATACGCGACCGTCTTCCGCTTCTTTCCTGGAGCCTGCTGAGGCCTCACCCCCATGCTCCGATCGAAGTCCTCGCCGACATTCCACTCCAACCTGCCGTCCACACGATAAGTACACGCGGCGGATGCCACCGCCGCTCTTGCTTTTAAGCAGTGCATCCAGTGTCGGATGCACTCCGCTCCAGTAGCAGGCGCCATCTTCGAATAGCAAGAAGTAGGCACCATCTGCTCCGAGAGCAGCCCACTGGATATCTGCATTGCTTCTAGTCGCCAAAAGTTGGTCTGCACGCTTCGGGATGCCTTCCCACTGCGAGCTGTCCGTGCCAATCACAATGTAGGAGCCTTGCGGGCCGAGAGTCACGCATTCGATGGTGCCCAGTCCAGATCAAGGCATAAATTGCCAGAGGTTTGCCAGCCACCATCCTTGTAGCAAACAGCATAGCGACCATGGTTGTCAAAAATGATGCAGGACACAGGGCTGTTGCTTTGCCCGGAAGTGTTGTACCTGCCGTTCAACAAATTGTATAATCCATCTCCCAGCCCCACAGACCAGCTGATGTCTCCATCCGGCCAGCACAGCACATATGTTCCGGCATGCCCCAAGGCCACGTAGCGTGGCACGGTCGCTGACATGGGATCTACAGCCGCTGTTCACCAGTGTTTGCTGGCAGCTTGAGCCAAAGATGCAGTGTGCCTTTTGCTCTGGAGAAAACCAAACGCCACCCTGGCCCCGGATCAATTTCTTGAAGTTTTTTGGTCGCCCTCCCGAACTTGACTCCGGAAGATATGGAGTTCTGGAGCCACGTACTTCACGTGCAAAGAAAGCCGCCAGCGAGACTCAGGTGAACGACGCTGAAAAATGCGCAAAGTGGCCTTCAAACTGCGCGTCCCAGCTCATCAGGCTTTGTCTGTATGGCAAGCGGAGTCGAAATTCTCGCCCTTCAAACTGGTTGCCTTCCAAGCCAAGCAGAAGACACATTGCGTGTGCAGCTTTCTGGAAGCCTTGTCGGGAAGCCGCAAAGCCCCTAGCGTCCCTCTCTCTTCAACTCCGTGTCATCGTTTTCGGGAGTGTTTGCAACGGGTGGTCGTCCCGCGCACGATCTCGCATGCGACGCAGGGGCAGGCAAGATGCGCTCCTGTCAACAACGTCTCCTACTGCAAGTCGACCCCCCGGCTTCCTCTGATCTCGCCCTTCACTTGACAGCATGGAAGACTCAAACATTCGGAGCCTTGCAACAGTGGGGACGATGCTGTAAGGGACGCTACGGCCCAATCTGCCCTACAGGAGCTGCGCTGATGCATAAAGAAGCAAGGCGGATCTTATGGTGAGGGTCCGAAAGCCTGTGGAGGACTGGAGGACTAACTGAGACTTCAGGACGACGAGACACCCCGGCACTGAACCCCGAGCCCCAGACCCTAAAGCCCATAGGCTTCAGGATTTCAAGTCACAATACCTAATCCCTTGGGCTGCGGAGGCGGCTAGGTTGGCATTCCTCTTCAACCCGCCAACCAGAAGAAGAGTTGGGTTACAAGGCCATAAACGCTTGATCCTTCAACGTCGCGCCAGGGAGCCAGGTCGTCTCCGGGCGTCTCGAAGGACGGCGGCAGCGGCGCCTTGCCACTTTTAAGCCTAGTTGTCCAGTACCTAGGGGAGGTAAAGGTTAACCTTTGGGATTTTCAGGGGATGATTTTTACCCAAAAAGGTTAAAGGTTACCTACTCCACTACTAAGTAAGTGTTGTTTGGATCCGAGTCGGAAAGAGTGGATGTCGGTGAAGTGACTTGACTTAGCTTTTGTGGGGCCCAGTGCCGACTCAACTGAATATGTAGGGGTTCTGAAGGATGCTCGGACAATGAAGCAGTGCTCGGCAATGAGGTTCGATGGATTAATGAGACCCTCTTCTTTCTGCACGGGATGATAGTCATAGGGTTTAGGATGCTTTAAAGCTGATCGGATTTAAAGACCCAGGCTCAAAGAAGCAACTCCCAGCATTGAGCCTGCGGTGGCAGTTGGGTGGGATTTGTACCGCAGGAGGTGATCTACACACGATGCTGATGACCCGATCATGAGAAGCTGGCAGAGACTTAGAGCCGACGGGACCTGCGCTGTTCACCCTGAACAAGATCGCACGGTTAACCATGGGGCTCGCCATCAAGCCAAGGAAACCCCCCCCCCCCCCCGAACCTGGGGCGGCATCGGCGCACTGTCCTGACGCAGCGAAGCGTGGGACATGGGCCCGAAGCGCCTACTCCCTAAACCCTAAACCCTAAACCCTAAACCCCAAAACCCTAAAGCCTAAACCCTAAACTCTAAAGCCTAAACCCCAAAACCCTAAACCCTATCTGAATCGGAAGAAACCTAGCCTTCACGGAGGCCTCTCCTGGGCTGATGTGACAGAAACTGTCTGCCTGCAAATCTGAAGATATCGTCTCCTTGGCCTCCGCTGGGTCGTCATCATCCCAACCGCTCTCCTGCTCAGTTTGGGTTTCAGGGATTGGGCTTAGGAATTTAGCATGTTGGCGTTATCTGCACAAACTTCTCAGATCCTACTTGCAAGGCTTGCATAAGACGTCTGTATAGATCGCGCACAGAAGTATCTACATGATGGGAACATGGAACACGGCAAAAACGAGGGCAACAGGGCTTAGGGTTCAGGGTTGAAGGTCTGTGTGGTGAGAGGATGAGAGCTCTGTGCGTGCCCTCGGAACGAACGGGCCGGACCTGCTTTGAAGTGGTTGATACCATGTGCGATGCCGCTTAGCGGGTCAAGGCTTCAAGAGAGCGCACCATGACACGTTCGATGCACATGACACGGCGCAATCAACCTGCAGCATTCCAGCGCTGGTGACGTTCGGATCTCCGGTGTAGCATGCACGGTCATGTCTCCCTGTACTGCCTCAACCTGCAGAGTCGGTGCAAGCAGCAGTCCAGCAGGTGCATCGATTGTACTATCACCATGTGGACTCTGGGCGGAGCAAAGAACCCGAGGAGAATGGGTAGCCGAGTCCAGGGGAGGAAGCTTGTCTTACTGTCTGCGGGGAGAACCCATGAGACCAGACTCACGGTAGCCAAGCAAAACGACAAGAACACCCGGACTTGCGGGGAGAAATCTCTTCAACCCCGTTCCCGAAATCCAAAACCCTGGGTGCTGAAGCCAAATCTTAAACTTAAACCCTAATCCCAAGCCCCACGACCCAAATCCTAAACCCTGCACCCTCAAACCCTAAACCCTGAAACCTTAAACCTGATATCCCTAACCCGAAAGTCCAAACCCTGAACCCGAAATCCTAGACCCAAATCCCGAGCTCGCCTGGGTCTCAGCCACTGGCGGTGCTGGGGCCTTGTAGTGCACACAAGAGCATGTAAAAACTCCGTAGTGGTATACAGTCAAACAAAGCCATGGAGAATGACATGTTTTCATCCATCTGTATGTATATATATATATATATATTACAGACTGAATAATGTATCAGCCAAGCCCATAAACCCCCTACGCCCTAAACTCTGGATCTCATGGGCTGAGCCAACTGGGGGAAAAAGCGTAGCCTTTGGGTTTGAAGACCTCATATACGCTCCTCTGTAAGTCTATGAAAGCTATAAGGGGTATTAGGTACCTACTCAGCACGCAAGAAAATCCTGAGCAAACACAGCCTGTTGGAGGAAGGGGTTCTCCAGTGACGGCTTCTTGTAAAGCAGGCTGCTTCACCCCTGCAATCTCAGCTCCTTCCGTCCACTTGGCATGGGATTTATTGCAGTTAGCAGCCTCTAGTCCTCAGGACGCGCAAAGGGGTAATGGAATGAACCGGTGCGTCAATGTCATGCACGCATACTAATTGCTAATCATAACCTTATGTTGATTCTGTGAACTGAAATGTTAGATCATCGCTTGTTCGTCCTACATTATATACGCGTATGTATACTCGGCACGTGATTGCTACCATGCGCCTGTTCATTTCAGAGCCCAGATGACCCCCTTTCTCGATACCTGTTGCAATAGAATTCCTGAACACATGAACAACAACCCCTTACCCCGAAGCCCTACTACCATCCTGGGAGCCCTAAACCCTAAACCCTAAACCCTATCTGCAGCCCAAGAACAGGTGCATCCCAATTCTCTTCCACAGGGGAAACCTGCAAAGTGAGGCCGAGGGCTTAAGATTCAGGCCTTTTCAGGCTAGAGCTGCTGCCCGGGCGAACTAAGGAGAAAAACAGGGGCACCTGGCTTGATTGGGTCGATAAGGGGTCCCGTAGAAATGGAGTGAGGGTGCTGCGGGGCGTGCCCGGTAGAGGGTTGAGGGGATTCTGGAAATTAACGGTCTCCTTTGCGGCCAGTGGCAAGAGGGAGTCTACTATACTTGAAGATACAATGGGCCCCCACATTTGGAACAGCTCAGATATCTTTCTCTACACCTATACACCCTGTGAACCCTCAACAGCCTAACGTTAGGCGATGTGGAAACTCCTGTTAAGCCCTAAGCCCTAAGCCCTAAGCCCTAAGCCCTAAGCCCCAAGCCCGAAGCCCTAAGCCCTAAGCCCTAAGCCCTAAGCCCTAAGCCCTAAGCCCTAAGCCCTAAGCCCTAAGCCCTAAGCCCTAAGCCCCAACCCCAAACCCCAAGCTCTTGGAACTCGGGGGTAAGGGGCTTGGGATGGTTTAGGGTTTAAGGCGCAAGAATATCCTCTACTCTTCAAGGTATGTTCCTATGGAGCTCCCGATCCTCCCCTACACCCTATTTCGGCCTAAACTCCAAACCCTACCTTCTGGGGTTTTCGGACCAACGGCAAGCCCTAAGCCATGGGAGCAAACTGGAGAAGAGATCGAGAGTTTTTTCCCCGGGAGGTTCCAAAATTCACCACGACGCTCGTGGGGTTCTACCTTCTAAGCTCGGGTTTGGGGACCCGTTCAAAAGAATCGAAACCCTAAACCCTAAACCCTAAACCCTAAACCCCTAAGGGAATATAAGGCCATGTTAGGGGTATGTTAAGGGAACCTCTCCGCGCTGCATCCTTAGGGCTCCTAGTTTCGAGACACCTGCCCCCCGAGGCCCGAAACTCCCAAAACCTTGCACATCCCAAAAAATCCTAAATCCTAAACCCTAAGTCCTAAACCCTAAATCCTAAGTCCTAAACCCTAAATCCCTAAAATCTAAATCCCTACACCCTTTAAAACCTGAGCCCCAAACGCCCACCTGCGGAAGTGGCGCCTCTTCCGGGAGGGGCGCCTGACAGATGACAGAGACTCGGTGGGTTCACGGGTTTAGGGTTTTGGGTTTAGGGTTTATAGGGTTTAGGGGTCAGTAGGGAGGGGGGGATTTTGGGCAAAGTACAGGGCCGTTCAGCCTGAAGCCTACACCCAAAGTAAACCCTGAACTCCTTGAAGTTGTTGGCTCGACTTGGCGCGGGTGTGGTTGAGGGTTTTCGAATGTTGCTGAGGCTTTTTGAGGGCTGGTGTTGAGGGCGGGTTTATGCGCTTAGAGAAGCGATTTAGAGGTTCAGCGCTTGTTGGTTGAACCCAACTTTTCAGCACAGCCGATGACAACAATCTGCAGTTCATGATACTTACAAAGCACCTTGCTGCATGAGCGCTCCCCTACAGTACCCGTACAAGAAGCGAAAACATCGACCACAGCGAGGATTTTGGGGGTGGGGTCCCCAAAACGCGCAGTGGATCCACCAGCAGCCTTCAAGTAAAACCCTGATATTCCAGGTTGGTGCTGCGGGGCCCCCCGACACCCAGTAACAATAGCGTTAGGGCTGTTAGGAGGGAATAATAGGGTTTAGGGAATTCAGGGAACGTAGGGAATTTAGGGACTAGGCTTTAGGGAGTTTAGGGAATTTAAGGAATTTAGGGATTAGGGTTTAGGGAATTTAGGGACTTTAGGGAAGAAGGTTTAGGGTTTGGGGTTTAGGGTTTCGGGTTTAGGGTTTCGGGCTTCAAGCATCTGACCTCGGTTTTCAATCCAAGGACAGTCCAAACGACCCAGGCCCTTCGGGCTCAGGGCACAGCACAACTGGTACGCGAATGGGGTTTCGGGTTGAGGAAGCTTAGGGTTCGGGTTTGGTTCTAGACATGCGGCCGGTCTTGTTGCTCTCGGGGTTGGGGGCTTCCTCCGCTGCCTGAGGTTGTGGGCCGCCCTATGATTCTGGAAGCCCCATACTTCTGCATGTCGGGAAGCTTCACCTTCTGGCCGTAGAAGTAGCAACAACAGCCGAGCCTAACGATCCAGAAGATGCCACCTGCGAAGAGAAAGCCATAGAAGCCGAAGGTCAGTATCAGGAAGGGCAAGCCAAGGAATCCCAAACAGCAGGAGAAGGCGAGCGCAGGCGCCCTGTATTCTGCAGGGAGGGCGTGCCCGTAGCCTCTGTCTTCGAAGAACATACACATGGAGGAAACGGCAAAGACTTCGGTCATGACGAAGCCAAAGAAGAGGGTCGGGAGGTAGTCCGGGTAGAAGAGGTCTCGGGTTTTGGGGAGCTCCCACTCATCGCAGCTCCAAGAGGCACCAACTCCAGCACACGAAGAGCCGGCACAATGGCAGCTACCCATTCAGCTTCTTCCAGTGAGGAGATGTCTCCCACTCTGTGCATTGACCATGCATGTTGATCTTGGTGCAAGTGTAGCTTTCAAGCTCCACTCCTTCCGTATACTGGTCCAGGGACTGGGTGGTGCGAAAAAGGACGCTGAAGAGTCCCACGTCCCCTCGCAGATCCACCTCGCGCATGACCTGTCGCCAATGTTGGCAGTCTTGCATTCACACATCTGAATTTCGGTTTCAATCTCACGCCAAAATGAGCAATGCTTCCTCGCCATCCCACGGTTGTCACCGTTGACAATACAAACGTTGCCCCAATGAAAGTACGCGTGTCTGGCTGCTGGGCTGTATGCGTAGACAGGAGGCCATGTCCCCGCGTGGGTCGCCAGCCTTCTTGCGTCAGTGCGGTTCTCCAGCTGCTGCCATTGGCTGGTGTTCTGGCGTAAGTACTTCACATAGTCCTGAAGGATCTCTTCTTCTGGCTTGTGCAAGAGCTCTGCCGCGGTCATCCGGCGCCCAGAGCTCCACAAGCTGCTTGGGGCCCACCATCGGAAGATGATGGTCTCCCCCGTGCCCAAGGATCCCCCAGCCTGAAGCTCCATGAGATGGTTGTACAGGTCATAGTCCATGCGAAAGGGGGCATAGTGGCAGTCCTCGTTGTCACTGTTACCAGCTGACTCATGCGAACGCTGACAAATTTGTTGGTCTGCCTCCAGGCTGTGACAGCTCCACTTCTCGCAATACTGGCCGTTGAGAGATAGCTGGTAGCACTTGCACATGCCGAAGTCTTCCTCCTCACAGCTCCACTCATGCGATGTCCAGGAGAGGCATACTGAGGAGTTGGGATGCACTGCCATGCAATGGTAATCCTCCGACTCCAACTGTGGTGACCAGACCCACGAAGGGTTTCCCCGCCAAATCCCGTTCTCAATGCGTCGTGTCCTCTCGTTGAACACACTTGTGTCTGGGCGCCAAGCCAGCTGCGGCTCAGGTGGTTCACAAACTGGCCTGCAACCTTGTAGGGATGTCATGCAGGCGAGAACTCCCGCGAGGACCAGAGTTCGTCGAGACAGTCCGAAACTTGCCATGAAGGCTGGCGCTGGAGGCAAAGCTACTGCCAACCCATGCGTGCAGGTGCAGCTCATCTCGATGGTGCTGTTGACCTTGAAACTCCCCTTCAGGGTGATGTCCCACAAAGCTGTGTCGTAGCTGCGCGCCCTTGTCAGGCCCATTCGGCATCGCAAAGCACTAAACCCTAAACATCCCTAAACCCTAAGCACCCAAGCCTCCGGATCGTAAACCCTATTCGCTCAATTTGCCCAGAACATAAGCCCTAAAACCCTAAACCCCAAACCGCGAACCTTAAACCCGCAACCCCAATCTCTACATGCCCTCGGTCCAAAAATCAGCTTGCGGATCCTTTGGCTACCTGAACCCCTAAACCCTACAAAGCCTAAAACCCCCAAAAGCCCGAAACCCCGAAGAACGAAGTAACCCGCTGAACCTCATCCAAGAATCCAAGAACACCCTTTTTCCGCCCGCCCACCCACCCACCCCCCCACCCCAAACACAAGAAGAACTCAAACCGAAACCTCCCTCAAAGACCGAACTCTGAACCCTAAAAACCCCACACCCAAAAAGAAACCATAACCCTAAACCCTAAACCCTAAACCCTAAACCCTAAACCCTAAACCCTAAACCCTAGAGAGGGGACTGTTGTGAGGCGGAGTTTTTTTGAATGTGATGCAGTGTTTTGGACTAAGTTCATGTTGTTGCGAGTGCAAAGCAAATAGCTACCCCCCCCTAAAACCCACCTCTAAAGTAAAAAGTTCACGACATCAACTCCGACAATCCTGAACCCCATAAGATTCCGGCATCGACAACCCCGTATCAGCGTTGCTGCTGTCCACACATGTCTGCGCGCATCATACTCTTGTCTACAGATCCTGTATACGTTCACGAGCATACTCCGCAAGCTCCGTCTCTAGATTAGACTTGCGAGCAGTGTCTTCCCTACATCTAGCACAGGACCAACACAGATGGCTGGATTGACGGGAGTAATGCATTCTGCAGCTCACCGCTCCTAGCGATTGAACAAGTACCCGTGTCAGCCACGACATGGCCACAGACCGGTGTTTACCAGCACGACAGAAGAATCCTAGTTGTACTACGGGGCCTTGAAACTGTACAAGAAAGCGAAGCAGTTTATCTACTTCTTTCGTGAAAAGCTTGTGCCCACTTACCGAAGCAAGTGTTTCATCGTGATGTCCTGAGTGTGAGCGCAAGGACGGGTCGTGTCCCGGGTCGGAAAAGCATCTGCAGTCAACCACGTAATCTAGATCCCTATCATCTGCTTGTCCGCCCCATACGTGTATGCGAACTTCTCGCTGATGGAGCACGCGCCAAGAGGGAGGAAACGAAGGCCCTGCTGGTCGGAGTACTTCCGGAGGAGGCCCAGCAGTCGCTAACCATGGGGGGGGATACGGCGGTTCTGTTACTCGAAGCCGTCCATGAGGGATCTCTTCGGCATTTGCAGACTTCATGTCCACATGCTGTCGGTTGGTGGCTGCACCTATCGGCGTGGTATGAGATGGCTGATACTTCCGGACAGCCCCTATAGGGATGACATCGGACCGCTTGCACTCGACGCCGGCAGAGGGGACAGCCTGTATAGGGATTCCATTGGACCGCTTGCACTGGACACCGGCAGAGGGGACAGCCCCTATAGGGATGACATCGGACCGCTTGCACTGGATACCGGCAGAGGGAACAGCCCCTATAGGGATGACATCGGACTGCTTGCGCTTGACACCGGCAGACACTGTTCTCAACGCTGTTTCTGTCTTCGGCTCCTTCTTGGTAACAGCCCCTATAGGTTGCATACGAAGATCTGTCTTCGGCTCCTTCTTGGTAACAGCCCCTATAGGTTGCATATGAGGACGCCTCACAAGGCGGCCCACCGGAAACGGTAACATGGCGACTATATGTACTACTCTAGTAGTTAGTATCCACATGACCCTGGATAATACTACTCGAAAACTGCATCATGCTATGGTATTGTAATAGCGACTCTTATTAGTTGCTCTATATATATATACACGTACTATTAAAACAAATCAACATATATATATATATATGGTGTCCCTCCCCAAAGGATGTGTATCTACATATGGTATCATGTGCATACGTATTTACATGGGCATCGTTCCAAGCCAGCGCCGCATCTTGAAACAAAACTGCGTCGAATCTGTCCTCCCTCCCCCAAGGAAACCTTCCTCGAAACCGACAAACTGACACAGCAACCGGCCCCGAAGAATTTCAGCTAAACCCTAGACCCTAAACCCTAAACCTAAATCCTGACCGCCGCGGCGACAGCCTAGGGGCCTAAGAGTTTAGGGTTCAGGGTTCAGGCTTTAGGGGCTTAGGTGGCTGCAAGTTCAGGGCCCGGTGTTTAGTAGGGTTTAGGGCTCATAGGGTTTCAGGGCTTAGGCCCGTTTAGGCTTTGGGGTCTTTGAGTTGAGGAACCCGGTAACTTGTAAGGTTTAGGGTTTGGGGTTTAAGGCATGGAAACGAAGCATTGTGTGAGGTTGCGGTAGATGTGACGAAGTTCATTTTTTGAACCAATTGTGGCTGTGACGGGGTGACGGGGAGATCCATGTTTCAAAACAAGGGCTGTGTTTCGAAACAAAGGCTGTGTTTCGAAACAGGGAACTTCCGAATAACATGTCTGGAAATACGTGAATGCAAACCAACTGTGGCACAGCTACGGCTGTTACGCATGAGGGGGGGGGGGGACTCCTGCCAAGATGGGCCAACTTCCAAGGACCCCCCCCCCCCCAAATCACGGTCAAGATTCCCACTTATGAACGGACTGTTGTGAGGCCATAAGTTTAAAGTTGTTGTGAGGCCATAAGTTTAAAGTTGTAAGCGTTTACTAACCCCTAAACCTTATTAAATGATTGAAAACTACCCAACAACTCCGCCTCACAACAGTCCTTTCTGAAACCCTAAACCCTAAACAGCGACCAAGGCACTGCCAACTCCTCGCGTCGCTCCACAGGCGCTGCCGCGAAGGTCGGGGTGGCCGCAAAGCCCGCCGGGGGTGCGATGCCCGCTGTGGGCATACCTTCCACGGTTTAGGGTTTAGGGTTTAGGGTTTAGGGTTGAGGGTTGAGGGTTTAGGGTGTACTTTGTATGAAACGGCTTTGCCTGGACTTTTGTTCCTTGCGGTTCCAAATTTTCCCAGCCAGAGTAGAGCAGGAAATACTTGAAACCGTAGATAATGCTCTGATGGCTTGGAGGTCCGAGTCATGGGAGACTGAGGATACCCGGAGCTTATCTTACGTGGTTTCGGAGTCATGTTCACGGGCTTCGGGCTGAGGGCCCCTGCACCCTAAACCCCTGAAAGCTCTTTAGCCAAAACCCCACACTAGACCCCTCAACCCTGGAGGCAGAATAATTAGAATAGGGTTTTGGGGTTATCAAAATAAAGTTGCAGAGGGATCCTAAAGGACTACTATTAGTCATTCTTCCGACCCCTATGTAAACCCCATAACCCTCAAACCGCAAACCCTGGTGTCCCCCGCATCGGCCTGCCGGGGGAGCGATGCCTGCTGGCGGTGCTATCCTCGGCTACGCAGGAGACTGGGAATGATGGCAGTGGCTGTCAAAGACAGGGCTTAGGGTTTAGGGTTTAGGGTTTAGGGTTTAGGGTGTAGGGTTTAGGGTTTAGGGTTTAGGGTTTAGGGTTTAGGGTTTAGGGTTTAGGGTCTAGGGTTTAGGGTTTAGGGTTTAGGGTTTAGGGTTTAGGGTTTAGGGTTTAGGGTTTAGGGTTTAGGGGTTTGTAGGGTTTAGGGTTTAGGGTTTAGGGTTTAGGGTTTAGGGTTTAGGGTTTAGGGTTAAGGGTTTAGGGTTTCGGGTCTAGGGTCTAGGGTTTAGGGTTGAGGGTTGAGGTTGAGGGTTGAGGGTTGAGGGTTGAGGGTTGAGGGTTGAGGGTTGAGGGTTGAGGGTTGAGGGTTGAGGGTTGAGGGTTGAGGGTTGAGACATTGTTCTTCTTGGAAAGAAGGGTGCATTGCCTGTGGATTGCTGCTGTGCTAGGTCTTTTTGTGCCTGCCAACTTCGCACCAACGCCCCCAACCTGCACGAACCTATCCTGTACCCCAAACCCCGCTCCGCGCTAGAATCCTACCAGCAGCCCCAAACCAACCCTACAAGCGGGTAGCTGAAAACAGTAACCCCTGAGTATTAACTGGAAATCAAAGTAAACCCCAAAGTCTGAACCCTTGCTGAACCCTACCCTCAAGCTGCAACCCCAAACCCCCCAAATCCTAACCCCCCCTCTCCCAAGCCCTCAACCCCAAAATCCAAACCCTAAACCCCGAAACCCAAGCCCCTGAACCCCAAACCGCCAACCTCCTAGCCCTAACAACGAACTCAAACCTCAAACCCCCAAACCCCAAGCCCTAAACCCTAAACCCCAAACCTTAAACCCCAAACCCGCACACCCCTAAACCGCAAACACCTAAACCCTGAACCCCAAACCCCAAACCCCAAACCCAACACCCCTGAACCCCGAACACCTAAACCTTAAATCCTAAACCCTAAACCCTAAAACCTAAACCCTAAAACCTAGACCCTAAACCCTAAACCCTAAACCCTAAACACCCCTCAACCCCGAACCCTTAAACCCCAAACCCCCAAATGCCAACTTCCCGAGCCGTGCGACCCGCAGGGCGCGGAGGGCGCGGCTGCCTCTGCGGTGATCGGCTCGGAGTGCTCCGGCCGGGGGGGCGGGGCCTGGGCGGGCAGTTAGCGTTGCGGGTTTAGGGTTTAGGGTTTAGGGTTTTGGCATTTAGGCATTCAAAAAAAACAACGCTCAATCAGCAACAACACCAAATCCAGAGGAACGGTATTAGTTTCAGGGTTCCCTTTGAAGAGGTCAGCCATGTCAAAAAACAAAAAACAGGCCCTTCCGGGGACTTACTAGTGAAAGTGAACATTGATATTGTACAATATACTACTCTATGCATGTACGAACATGTACAAGAATCCCGCCTTCAAGTCTCATCGATGAGGTCTCGAGGATGCTATGGGATTCCCATTCGGGTTTTCGGACTTTCAAAAGTGCTGAGGGCTGATGCCCAAACTCCCTGGTAGACAACATCAGGGTCGGCCCATATATAAACTGCCCAAGGCCCTGGAACTTAGGGGGTAGAGCATGTGAGCATGTGATGTAGGGCGATGAGGGTGTTGGGCTTAAAGCCATGGCTTTCCTTTCCCGAGATGCCACTGGCGCGGCCGACTGGGCGATTTCCTTCGGGTGCATTTCGTAAGGGCTTCGTGGCTGATGCGGGGTTTCGGGCCCAAGTGTAGGGCACATGGCTTATGGGGTTTTAGGGGTCAGGGGTCTAATGCCGAGGCGTTTATGTTTAAGAATCATGGGCCTTGGGTTTAAGGCAGGGCTTGCGGCCCAGGGTTTGGAAGTCGGGTTACCCCATGGACGAGGCTTGAGGGCTATATAAATCGCATGGCTACCCCTACAGGCTGTGTCACGCAAAGCACTCCGCCAACAAAGCACACCCTAAGCCCCCCAACCCTGCAAGCCCTGCACCCCAAACAAGCTAGAGAATAGCAATCATCATCCATCATTAGCTGTAAGCCCTAAGCCCTAAACCCTCAACCCTCAACCTTAAACCCTCAACCCTCAACCCTAAACCCTAAACCCTAATCAACCGTCATGATCGCCAGCTCCTGGGGGCTTCGTCTTACTGCGGCCGCGCCCGTCACGCGGGCCCGGGCTTCTTTCAGGAGCTCGCCCTCACCGGCAAAAGCGGTTCAGGGGTTTGGCCTGGGGATTATGCCGAGAGCGCAACTGGGTTCTCAGGGTTGAGTCTAGGGTGTAGGGCTTAAGGTTCAGGATTTAGGGTTTATGGAGGTTTAGGATCTTTGATTCTACGGTTATGGGGTTGGGGGTTCTTGATTCGCGGGCTTGGAGTAGGGCGGTGGCGGTTCTCCGCGCAACATCATGCAGCCTTGAGACCCCGACGTAGAGAATAGAAACGATGCGACGGCCCTCCAGCCGAAGACGTCCCCCAACGCAAAACCTAAATTGTCTCTCGGAAGCTTCTATAAACACTCCGGCAAATCAATGAGTGTCCTTCGCAAGGTATTTCCGGGTCTTTCGCCATGCAGCCTTTACATTCCGGCCTAGAAAAAATTTAGTAATGAGAAGGCCTCCGGCCGAAGACAACCCCCAACGCAAACGCTAATTTGGCTCTCGCAAGCTTCTAGAAATTATGACTTTCACAAGGTATGTTGATGGCAACAGGCCTCTCGCCATGCAGCCTTGACCCCCGACATAGAGAAGAGAAACAATGAGAAGGCCCCCCGGCGAAACCGTCCCCCAATACAAAACCTAATTTTCTCTCGAAAGCTCCAAATCTAACGTCTTTCCCAAGCCATCTTCTCAGATGTCACCTTGCAGCAAGGCATCTTCATAGGCAATCTCCATGACATTGTCATAAGGAAGCGGGCTAGATATTACCGAAGTACAGCATTGAGTGCAGAAGTGTTTGAATGTGGGCTGGCTTTGGTTTGGCTGGCTCTGGTTTGGCTGGCTCTGGTTTGGCTTGTTTTGAGTAGTGTTTGGGTGGTCTTGGGGTGGGCATGTCTGCACACAATTGCGCACAGCTGATCAATGCTACACCCTAAACCCTAAGCCCTACACTGCCCTACACCCTACACCCTGAACCCTAAACCCTAAACCCTAAACCCTAAACCCTACCTAAACCCTAAACCCTAAACCCTTGGTGCGGCTCGCCTGCAGCCCTGGGGGCGCAGGTGCCGGGGCAGCCTCCGGAGCCGGCCCCGCCAGCTCCTCTGAGGTTCAAAGAGGTGTTTGGGGTTGGTTTAGGGTTTGGAGTTTGGGGCTCGGGGGGGATATAGGGTTTGGGATTTAGGGTTTAGGGTTTGGGGTTTAGGGTTTAGGGTTTGGGGTTTGGGGTTTGGGGTTTAAGGGTTTGGGGTTTCAGGGCTTGAGGAAGTTTGAGGGTTTGGGGTTTTAGGCTCGAGTGCGCACGGGGGAGAAGGGAGTTGTGGCTTGGGGGGGATGATGAGCTGCGAGGTTTGGGAGGGGCAAAGGGTCCGTATTTAGGTGTGCTGAGCATAAGAAGGATGTTTAGGGAGCCTGCCAAGTGCAGGAGTGGCCCTTTTGGACCAGGGCTGCTGTGGCTTAAGGCTTCCGGCTTTAGTGGCTCAGGGTTTAGGGGTTTCAATCTCACCTACCACCCACTGGCAGAGCCTCATGACATGTGAGGCTCCTCCAGGGCATCCAGGGCGGCGAAGGGGTCCTGATCAGGAACGGCACATTGATCCGAACGTCGAAGGGTTGAGGGTTTAAGGTTCGACGAAAAACACCCTTAAACCCTCACGCTTCAACTCCAAAACAGGGGATTCGATTACCCCAAAAAAGGTTTAAGGGTTCCCTACTCTACAACTAAGTTGAAGGAGTTGAGGAAACCAAGCAATATCCGGACCTCTCCCGTTGCGATGGCTAGGCAAGATGAGGCCATGACAAGAACTCCCTTTCGGCGTAGAGTTCAGGATGAACCTCAAACCTCCCTAAACCCACGAAAAACATCTCCTTCAGCAGCAAGAAGCCCCAGGAATGCCTCTAAGTGAACCCTCTAAACCTTGGCCACAGCCCCACAGCTCCGAAATTCTCAGCCCCGAATCTTGGAACCCCAAGACCATATGGTCATTTCTCAAACATGATGGTCCCTATTGGGGGTACCCAGAGAATCGCCCCACATGGCACCCTACATACACACCCTCATACCCTCGACTAGCAGCCGTACGCTTCTCCTCAACCTTGTACCCAACCCTTCGGCCCCCTGAGCCCTGGAACCCCAGAACAAAAAAATATTACACTTCGAACATCCCCACCTTGCTCCTCGTTAGAAGGAAAGAGCGCAAATAGGATGTTCAAACAAAGACACGTTGACTCAAATACGCTTTCTCTTGGTTTTTGCTTGTTGGGGAATTGAGGGAGACTCTGGGGTTGCGCGAGGGAGACTCTGGGGTTGGGCACTCCAGGACTCTCTGGGTTGGGCACTCCAGGGAGTCTCTGGGGTTGGGCACTCCAGGGAGGCTCTAGGAGTAGACTGGGCGAGGAGAAGAGTTCTGGGCGAGGAGAAGAGTTGAGTTGAAAATCTAACAACCCCACACCGAAGGTGGGGATAAAAAAAGAACACCAGGAAACCTCCAGACCTCATCGAAGCCCTGCCGACTCTGCTACAAACCCTATCAGCTCGAAACTAAGCCTAAGGGCGCTTAAGGGGGCAACCTAGGGTAGTATAGAGGGGGGTAGTAGGGAAACCCTAAACCCTAAACCCTAAACCCAAAACCCTAAACCCTAAACACCACCTCCTCTGCTGCGGGAGGAGGAGGCGGTGGGACCGCGACCTCCGGGACCTGCGCCAGAGGGGGCTCCCTTTATGGGGGGAGTTTGGGCTTTATAAGGTGCGAAGTCTAAAAGCCCACAACTTCGTGTCTGTACAAGGAACCCTCACCTGCAGCGTCGTTTTTGGGTGGAATTGGACTAGGCATTTGGGGATCTCATAATGATCCACGCAGGGTGGTATCAGTGGATAGTAGTGATGGGTTTTTGTTATAGGGGCCTGCATAACTAGAATAGGGTTTTGGGGATGATTATAGTGGAAATTTTACATGGACCCGAAGGGAATATTATTGGTAATTTTACCAGACCCCTATAGTAGGCTCCTGCGCTGCAGGGCCCTGGGCTTCTAAGCCTTCGGCCCCCCAAACAAGTTTGTATAAGCCAAGCCTGTGGGCCAAGGGCTAAGCCCCAAACCCTCAATCAGCAACCCTAAAGCTCAGGCCATATCTACAGATATATATACATATATATATATATATATCATATGAGTAGTAACATACATAACACCAACTTCATAAAGTACGTCTTTTCATTTATATGTGTACACTATACCGCATAATAAATAAAAGAAGATATGCTACATTGTTACATTTTTGTGTGACTTTCAGAATTATGTTGTTATATGCACACACATACATACATACATACATACATACATACATACATACATACATACATACATACATATATATATATATACAAATACATATAGGTACATATTTGCATTTGCATTTTCCGACAGCAAAATACACTATCATCTATGTGCGCAGCGGGGCCCAGGCCTCCCTTGCAGGAGCTGGCCACCTGCAGGTGCTCAACAACTGACATCCTTCAGGCACTCAACTCCTCACCTCCCTGGAGTGGCTTTGATTTTGCTTGTATCAGGAATGGCTGTTTTTTTGAGCACAGGTTGAAATTGGGCAAAACGACCATGGGAAGAAGGGTGTAATTGTGGGGTGGCGGCGGTGGTGGTGGTGGGAAGTACTGCTAGCTTCCCACCCCCTCAACCCGAACCTCAAATCCTGAACTTGCTAAGACGGAGAGCTCAACCTAGCTGCCCAGTACCTAGGGAACTGAAGGTTAACCTGTGGCATGATAAGGGGATTATCTTGCCCCAAAAAGATTAAAGGCTACAAGAAACACCCTAATCCTAAACCCTAAACCCTAACCCCAAACCCCAAACCCCAAACCCCAAACCCTAAACCCGAAACCCTAAACCCTAAACCCTAACAACTGGCCAAGACAACCCAAAGCTCGGACCTCTTTGGCGCGACGGGTGGCGGCTCCCACGGCCGGCGCTTGTCGCCGTCGGCGCCTGGCAGCGGCGGCTTGCGGAGTGGGTTTGAGGTTTAGGGTTCAGGGTTCAGGGTTTACCATACTGAGTTGTGCTTTAAAGCCCTTTGACAATTATTTATGAATAGGTTCCCTTAAAAGGGAAAGAAGGGACGCGTGAATTATCCCCAAGCACTACCAAGCATAAGAACCCAAACTTTAAAAGCCCCTTGCAGGATTCTTAAGGCAAGCTGCAAAAACATAGGTTTTTTGCGGTTCTTAAGGTAAGGGTTTGAGCTCAGGGCTTATGGTTGAGGGTTTAGTTGTAGGGTGTTTTGTGGCTTTGGGTCCTTTGGTCTGCCAGGTCGTTTTAAACGGCATTTTTGGTTTTGTGGGTTTTTGCGCTTGTGTAGACAGTTGTTGAGGCTTTTAGAGCCTTTAGAGCTTCTTGCAGCATCTCGGACTTTCTGGGGTGCGGACGGCTTTCAAGAAAGGCGACCACGCTGATGCGAAGAGGGCTACCAAAACGCAGACGTTCATGGGTTTCGAGTTTGGGCTTCAAGGGCTTACGGCTTGGGCGGGTTGAGGCTTTCCAGCGTTGTAAGGCTTAAGGCTTTGAGCCGCTTAAGCAGGTCCAGGTCAAGAGTGTAATTTTCGCACACACACACACACACACACTTTGGAGCTTAGGGACATGAGGTGTTGCGAAAAGTTTTGGAATCAGGGTGATCTTGAGGTTTCGGGCTCAGGATTTTTGTGGTTGTTCGGGGGTGACTATGCGGATGTTCAAGGCCAAGCAGGTTGGAGCGATGGAAAGGCACGAACACACGCTGCTGCCTGCATCACCATTCTGGTCTGAGGCTGATGTGGAGTTGGAGTACCTGTCTCATCAAGCGGACAGCTGGGATGTGCTAGGCGGAGGCACGGTTCAGCAGATTCCTCGCATGGCATCCAATCTGCGTACATACACCTCGGGCACGGCGTCAAACCCCAACGCCAGCAACCTCCAAGCACTGTCCGAAAATATTAGGGGGCTCCCAAAGTGCACTATATTTGGGTCCTGGCACCCCCTAAACCCTAAACCCTAAACCCTAAACCCTAAACCCTAAACCCTAAACCCTAAACCCTAAACCCTAAACCCTAAACCCTAAACCCTAAACCCTAAACCAATACATTCAAGGGGCAGCCCCATTTTTCGGAAGCCCCACCAAGGAGCACCGGGTGAATTCCTGGCCGGCCGGCGTCGTCAAGGAACCAGCCTTTCCGGTGCTGTGGGCTTCGGACTTTCTGGGATTAGAATGGGGAGTTCTAGAACCACGCTATAAAGTCGATTGAAAACATAGGACTCACATTTATCATAATGGTACAGGCAGTCGCGCTTTCTTGGTCATGTATTCTTATCCAAGACAGACAAGAGCATTCGAAAGCTCACGGACATAGTCAGTGATGAAGCTTTGATCACCAACACTGACCAATGCCAAAGGACCGCTGCGATCCGGTCCGCCAGTAAAATGACAGAAAAAACCCTAAACCCTAAACCCTAAACCCTAAAGCCTACTTCCGTGTTAACAGAACATTTTCTTCGCGCGGGCTTGAGACTAGAAAGTTCATCCAAAACTCCTGAAGGCCCCCCCAACTCCAGCCCTAGCAGCATCCCGGCCCCTTGGAGCCAAAAGACAAGCCGGAAGCTGTCGGGCGACATTTCGGTCAGTGTAGGGTTCAGGGTTTAGGAAGTTCTTGAAGGTACAGGGTTTAGGGGAATGCCTAAGTAGCCCTAGACATTTCCCTGTGTGTTCTGATAGGATTCGCGCAAGGGTGCACCAAGTTGTTGCAACTGCAACTCCGAACCCGCAGATTACTTCTACACGACAAGTCCGACATGGGAACCCCCCTAACCCTAAACCATAACCCCCAAACGTCAAGACTCTAGACTCTAAAACAAATCAAATCACCCCCCTTTCCCCCCCCCCCCCCCCCCCCCCCTCCCAAAGAGGGCGGCCTTTGGAACCCAAAAGGCCCCCGAGGCTGCCCCAGGTCTGTAAGGTTTAGGGTTTAGGGTTTAGGGTTTAGGGTTTAGGGTTTAGGGTTTAGGGTTTAGGGTTTAGGGTTTGGGGTTTAGGGTTTAGGGTTTAGGGTTTACGGTTTATAGGATTTAGGGTTTAGGGTTTAGGGTTTAGGGGTTTAGGGTTTAGGGTTTAGGGTTTAGGGTTTAGGGTTTAGGGTTTAGGGTTTAGGGTTTAGGGTTTAGGGTTTAGGGTTTAGGGTTTAGGGTTTAGGGTTTAGGGCTAAGGGCTTAGGGCCTAGGGCTTAGGATTTAGGGTTCAGGGTTTAGGCTTTAGGGTTCAGGATCTGGCTTCACTTGAAAGTTTTGAGGAGTGATTATACTTGTGGGGGGGGTACTTATAGCTGCCCTACCTCTAACCTGCACCAAACGGGACCTTAACCCTAAACCCGACCAACCCTAAACCCTAAACCCTGAACCCTGAGCCCTGAACCCTGAACCCTGAACCCTGAACCCTCAACCCTGAACCCTCAACCCTCAACCCTCAACCCTCAACCCTCAACCCTAAACCCTAAACCCTAAACCCTAAACCCTAAACAAACAAGCAAACCAAGGTCCCGCCTGGCTTTCAGGCGGCTTGCCGGTGGCAATGTCCCGCGCGGCGTTCAGTCCGCAGACCCAGGCCTCCGCGTCCTCGAATGTGGGGGTTTAGGGTTTAGGGTTTAGGGTTTAGGGTTTAGGGTTTAGGGTTTAGGGTTTAGGGTTTAGGGTTTAGGGTTTCGGGTTCAGGGTTTAGGGTTTAGGGTTTAGGGTTTAGGGTTTATGGACAGATGTTTTGAGGTTCAATGGCTGGGTTTACGTAGTGGCTTTAGGGGTTGAGGGTTCAGAGCTCAGGGGTCGGTGAGTTTGACGGAGTGTTGGGGAGTTGGCTCAAAGGGTTGAGCCAGTGTCATGCGGTACGTGCTACTTTGGCTACGGGCTTCTACCTTGAACCCTACCTGGGATCCAAACAGCCCCTAGGCCCGTAAGTCTTCTCCACCCTTGGGTACTTTTTAGGCATCCTATGCGACCCAAACCCCAAACCCCAAACCCCAAACCCCAAACCCCAAACCCCAAACCCTAAACCCTAAACCCTAAACCCTAAACCCGAAACCTCAAACCCTAAGCTGATGGCCTGATAGGAGCTGGTGAAGAGCTCGTATGTCCTCTCCGCTGTGAGCACGGAGAAGCCAAAGATGTGATCACCTCGCATCTTGGGGGATTATATGGTTTAGGGTTTAGGGTTTAGGGTTCAAGGGTTTAGGGTTTAGGGTTTAGGGTTTAGGGTTTAGGGTTTAGGGTTTAGGGTTCAGGGTTTAGGGTTCAGGGTTTAGGGTTTGAGGGCAATGGGTTTTCGGTGTACGGTGTATAGGGCGTCCAAGGTGTATACGGCGTGAAGTGGGTTTAGGGTGTATCCGTGTAGGTTGTTTCGGGCATTTTTTGCTTTGCAGCGCACAGGCACGGGGCTCAGCGCATGGATCCACGCCTAGCTACTCTTATCAGGAACGAAGACTTCGATTCTTTGTTTGTAGAGGGAGAAAGTATTCCTGTGGAAACGCTGGCAAACCTTGCAAAGCAAGCAAGTTGCTTGTGTCATGGAGGGGAGCACCAAATGCTGGCACAGGACTGTCAGGAACTTGAGATTGCGCAGGCTGACAGGTATATGTCATGGATGAGCAGTCTGTCGGTGACGAGCTTTCGATGAGGCAGATCACGTTGACATGTAGGCCCGTGATAGCAGTGATGTGATGAATCTTTCAGCGACGAAGCTTTCGATGACACGTCTATCAATGGCAGATCTTTAAATACCCTGTGCAGGCTGTCCAGGTGTAGGGCCTTGGGAGCTTCGGGGTTCAAAAAAGCGTGCTGCATCACGTGCCCTGACATTTCCTAGAAGATACCGAAACCCAAACGGAGCTCAGCATATCAGTCGTTGCCAAGGGCCCTGCTCTTCGAGTCGGATATTGGCAGCTGGTCCGCTGCCACTATATCCTCACGCGTGCGTGCGTGACATTCGGGATGGCTGAGCTTCATCCTCGTGCTTGGCGATTCGAGAGGTGGCTTTGAGGGCCTTAGCAACTGCACGAGCCAGTCTCAGAGAGGAAGACTTCCCTAAGCCCTAAACCAAAAACGAAACCCTAAACCCGAAACCCTAGACCATCAGCGTCCTCGGTCTCACGGTCTTTTCAGCGCAACATCTGGGACGCAACAGTATTAGACACTGTCCTTGAAGCGAATTGGATGAGAGACGGTCTTGTCACTTTCTGAGTGCGCGTAGAAGAAAAGCTGCGCATTGAAGTCGATGGTGAAGTATCTCTTCGTCGTGCTGGAAAACCACCGCGCCTTGGCACCATCGCCTGGCAAGCGGAGTACAGGGTGAAGAGCGCAGGGGTTACCAGCGGACAGAAGAGGAAACCTCTGCAACCGTGTTAGGAAAAGACGGCAACACGACCGGATCGTTTGATTTTTTACTGTTCCAAGCAAGTTCAGGAGATGAGCATGGCATGAGCAAACAGATCCACACCCCACCGAACCATCCATCCAAGACACCTGCGATCGATTTGCAAAGGTTGCCTAACCACTCGCCTACTAAGAGTGCAGAACGGCCAGGCGCAAAAAGAAATCAGAAGGGAACGGCCCCTGCCTTTTACTTTTGTCAGCCACGCGCTGTAGGCGCCCTTGAAGCCTGGAACAGGCAGTGCAGGATCTTCGGGCCAATTTTTGTCAACCTTTTGTTGCTACAGCACGGAAAACTACAGCCAGGCACTGAACCAAAATCCTGAACCTTTGTGCCAGGCAGCTCCGGCGGGCATCCACCCAACTTTGATCATCAGAGGCCATGACAGCGGCGTCACGAACTGGAAGAACGGCCAAGGAGTTTGACAGAAGATGTGGGATGCCCCGATTGGCTGATGAGCGTAGGCTACCTGAAACTACAAACCTTGGTCCGCAAATCACCTTGCACCTGCTTGGTCCCACACAATGACCTTCAGCATCTTATAGAGTGACGTCTCTGTTGTCTTAGATGCTACTTGTGTCCCCACCATGGTGGCAGCCATCTAGCTATTGAGCTGCTCTTGAGCCACAGCCGCCCGGAAACCTTGGAGACGGCTCGACGTCACGATCTGCCCTGAGCCCCAAAACCCCTAAGAATTATTGGCAGTCCTGAATCCCAAGGAAAGAGTGGATGGCCCCAAAGTGTGTCACACATCGAAAGCCCTTCCTGAGCATTATGTGCGTTATCACCACCATCACCATCATCAGCTACAGTATCAGCAGCTGGGGTTCCACGAGCACTGACGAGCAAAGCTCTTGCACAGCAAAACAAGCACTGACCAACACGGCCTCAACGCTGCAGACGTGCAATCCGAGACAGAACCCGGTACAACTACTTGGTGCGCGGCGCATTCTTGCCCGTGGTACGGGACAAGCATTTGTCTGAGGCAACAGGCCGAAACCACTGGCAGGGGCGATACTTCAGAGAAACGCTGCAAGAAAGTCCCCAAAAAGTGGAGACTAGGCAAAAATGAAGTAGTTTGGGACTCACAACCTGACAGTCGCCCATGTTAAACGGCAAGCCCCAAAGTTCGAAGTCGCCAGCCCCAAGCCTGAAAGCGTCCGGTAACACGGACGGAATCATCGTGCGGGCACGGATGCTCTGGCCATCCGCACGAACGGAATCATCGTGCGGGCATGGATGCTCTGGCCATTCGCAACACCCGAATGAAAGTAAGGGTTGAGGGTTTAGGGTTTCGGGTTGAGGGTTTAGGGTTTACGGTTTGGGGTTTAGGGTTTAGGGTTTGGGGTTTAGGGGGGTCAAGGGTTTCATGTGCGGGGTTTGGGCCTTGTTCACGACAGGAACGTTGCCACAGAAATGAGGTCATGAAGAGAGAACAAAAGGTAGAACAGCAAGGAAGAGTAGCACAAACCCGAAGAAACGCCCATTCAAGACCGGAAAAAAGTGGCCGAAAGCGAAAACACGGGAGAAAAAAAAAAACAGAGTGCGGAAAAGGCGAGAAAAACAACGACAGAGAACCAAACAAAAATGAAAATGTAAGAAAAAAAGTGCAAACAACAGAGAAAAACCAGCAAAACCCCGAAGAAACGCACAGCCAAGAGCGGAAAAGTGTCCAAAACAAAAATCCGAAAAAAAAGCACGTGTTGAAACGGGCCTGAAAAACTGCAGGTGACGGAGGCCTCGGAAAAGGAGAACAATCCCGAAAAAAGCATAGGTTTCCAGCCGAAAAGTGCCGAAGAGCACTCGGGCAGGAACCCGCCGCGGTCCAACTACTTCCTGATCATCCCAGGACCTTCGGAGAATGAGAGCCAATTAGAGTGAATCCGAGTGCTGTGGGTGCTGCTCCTCGTTTCTATGCGGAGTCCCAAACTGAATAGAAGCCACAGCTACGGGAAAAGCAAACGACGGCGGGAGCATCCATGCCGCAAGTACACGAAACCTTAAAGCGCAAACCCTTTGCCATGGTGCTACACGCTTCCCCGAGTGACCACGATCCACCACGTGTTTTAGCACATCATTCTAAGCTGCCATCTGGTCCCCACCTCGCAGAGGGTTGTCTTGAGGTTGCAACTTGCTCTGGGATTTGGGGTACAGCACAGGTGGAAACCAGGCGGCTCCCATTTTTGTCTGCGCGCTCCCATAAAGGTCACAGATCGGTTCGGCTGTCGACTCGTGCTCCTGTCTTGAAGGGGCAATCAAGAGGAAAGCCCAAAGCTCAGGATGACCCTGAAACATGGGTTTTCCGGCTTCGGGCTTTTAGGGGTATACTTCCTGCGGAGCTTTTGCGTTTACGGTTACATGCAACTTTCTTGGGAGGGTGCCGTGCTTCTCAAGTCCATGAGCCCAAGACAGCAAACCCCTGATGCAAACCCCAAGCCCCCAAGACAGCTTAAAGTGGGGGGCTGAGGGGGGCACAGCCCCCTCCCCATTTGCAAACATGCTCACATGATGGGTTTGGCAGGGACTCGTATGGTCTTAAAGCTTAAAAAAGGGTGCACAGCCAAAAAGAGCGGGGGAGAGGGTTGGGTTGGCTCCGAACCCCTACAAATCCAAAGCTCAGCCGCCGTAGAACATCTTGGGAAAGCCACAAACACCTACAAGTAGGATTGAAGGCTTGGGCTTAGGGCCGAACAGCACATGCAGCGGACCTTGTGGGCGTCACCGGCAAAGGTTCCACAGGGCCGTCCTGGCGCTGGAATCTGGCACCACTGAGGTTGGGTTGGGCATCATGGTGACATCATGGTATGAGAAATTCCCTAGACCCTAAGGTTCAGGGCCTAAACCCTCAACCCTAGACCCTCATGTGCCTGGCATGTTCACGGCAGAGAGCACGGGAGAGCAGGAATCATGCAGCTCGCAGCCTCCTTTTTCCCACGCGAAAGAAAGGGGTGGAGTGGGCAGCCGGGGGGGGCTAGAGATCATCATCTCACCTGGTGCCAGCAGCATATAGCAGCATCCCTTCGCGGCACCAAACCCCCCAAGATCCGACTGCCCTCCGAGCAGAGGTGCCTTTGGCAGCCCCAGGTGTCGTCGCGAGTTTACACATATCCAGTCAAGAAATGAGATGACGTTTGTCATTCGAAACGTTGAAGCTATTCGAACAAGAATGCTAAGTTGGGAAACTTTTCAGCATCGCTTTCCTTGTGGAACATCGTCACAACCTCCTGAAAGTCCTTAGGAGTCCAGACCTCTCCGTGGTCGGGATGCTTGGAGTCATCATCCACCCAGTCGGAGGCAGCAAGCCTCGGTTGCACGGCAACCTAGAAATACATAAAGGGGTCCCCCTTGTTTTGCTTAAGGAGGTTTAGTAAAGGGAACCCACCCTCCCCCACCCCCCCCCCCCCCAAACAAAAAAAAAAAAAGGAAGAAGGGCACTGCTGGGAATCCCAGGAGCCAGTCAAAGTTCTTTCCAGCCTCGCCCCTGTGGAAGAGCGTCAGGCAGATTTGGAACCTTAGTCGCCCAGCAAGCATATTACAACAAGGGCACCCTTCTTTCGGTTGGTTGCTTTATAAGGGAACCTTGAACCCAAAAAACAAAAAGGGTCAAGGGGTATTAACCCTTAACCCTTAACCCTTAAACCCTTAACCCTAAACCCGAAACCCTAAACCCTAAACCCTAAACCCTACCACTGGGCTACCAAGAAACTGGGACCGGTTGAGGACCCCGGCTTGGTCCAAGAAGTATTGACGCACGGCCTGGTCTCCCTGGAAGCCCTCGGAGAAGTCGAAGCCATCATCTGCATCTTCCTCCTCATCCATCTCCAGTATTTCGAAGATTGTGGGATTCGGATTCACATCATGAATCACTGTCACATCCTCAGCATCATCTTGGATGTCGAAGTTCTCACCATCGTCCGCATCGGGCGTGAAGTCTGCATTCGTCAGCCCGGTGATTGCATACATCTGGCACAGATTGAAGTCGCGACTGGCCACGTAGTCATAGCCCAGATAGCAGTAGCCACCTTGTCCCCAGTTTTCCCCCCAACTGTTTCGGACAATGAAGACGGACTGGCGATCATTGTAGCCCACAAGAAGCATGGCATGCAGCCCATGGTTGGCGGCCCTCTGATCCGTTTTGCCGGGTGTCGGAATATAGCCGCTTGGCCCCGGACAAAAAAACCGATCTGTGAGCATGAGGCCGAAAACGATGGGATTGCCTTCTGCTAGGCACTCCCGCATCATGTCAAGATCCACGTAGAGTCTCCGGGCCTCCGCCACCCTGAACTTCTTGGCCTCTTTGAAGCATTCATCCGTAGGCTTCTCGTTCACGTTCGCGAGATCGTAGGGCCAGGTGGGTTCCAAGCAAGAACCCGCAGTCTGGACTGCTGTGATGGCAGCACTCACACTCATGCCGTCGTCTTTGGGTGCAGCCGTTTTGGACTTCGTGCCCTTGCCACCCCACATCTTTTCCTCTTCTCCCATATCCTCAACTGAACTTGGAACCCTAGCAACCCTAGAAAAAGTCAGAAAATGTTGCTGTTTCTTAGGATTTGTAGTACCCCAAGAACGAAAAGTTATTCCCAAGTATCCCAAAGGATCAATCTTCCGGCCGACGTAGTAGATGAAAAGCCGGGAGATGTCACCTGGTTTATCCCCGGTTTCCCGGGCATGCTTTTGATTGATGTACCTTAGTTGTCCAGTAACCTGGGGGAATTAAAGGTGAACCTTTGGGATTCTAGGGGGATTATACTACCCCAAAAAGGTTAAAGGTTACCTACTCTACTACTAGGGTACTCCATGGCCCCTGCCACTGCATTGGCACAGCAGCTGTTGGTGTTGGATTGGTCTTCCACTGGGCTCATGTACTTGCGAAGGTCAACCTTTTCAGGCAAAGTTGAGTCCTCATCTCTCTTGTAGGGCTTGAAGTCCTTGGTCACTGCAGGATCTTCTGCAAGATCTGTTCGCATTCCAAAGGGTGCAAAGGTCCTCTCCCCGCACTTCACCCTGACGCGGCTCTTCTTCGCACGCGCCAGGTGCAGAGCCGCCTTCACTTTCTCCACTTCCTCGGGCCCAAGGTCCGCAACGACCTGCTTGAGGCCGGCGACGCTTGCTTGCTCCACTTGGGATTTGAAGGATGATGAACCAGACCCCATGCTGCTCAAGAGACCCGGGCTGCTGGGCTCACTTTAGCTGCCGTGACTGCTAGCTTCGACGCTGCCGGGATGCTCCGGCAAGAATCTTTGAGCCGCAGATTCTGTGAGAAACTCTGCAATGCTGAGCAATTCGTCGCAATTAGTCATAAAATAGTCCCTATAGGTCAACTTCATAAACAACTCATCCCACGACCTGCAGCGGGGCAGCTCCCACGAGCCCATGGCAAGCCCAACCTCAGCAACAGCCCGCAAGGGGCCGTCACAAGCAGCTCACTGGTCTCACTGCGCCTGTCGCTGCCGATCGTTTAGCCAAGCAGCAGTGCCGAATTGAAAGGAGGGGCCCCAGATGGCTTCGGGCTACGCCTGAGGCTGCGATCCGGGTGGCAAGCAGCGACTGCCGCTCGGAGCAGGTTGTGGCGGGAGAGCTGGCAAAACGGCCGAGGACGCCAGAAACCTCATCACCCCTGAAAGCCTACCACAAGCGCATCAGCTCCTACGTCAAGGGGCGGAGCATCATCAGCAGGCAGGGTGCAGGATTTTGGCCTTTTAGGCTTTGTCAACCCGGCAGTTAGAGACCTAAATCCAAGAAATTGGCTCTTCCCGCGCGTGGTCTTACCACTTCCTGTTGCCCCACAGCATACCGTAAAGACACGCAGTCTTGTTTCCGGTCCTGCCTCGCCTCGTTGGGCGTAAGACCGGCTGGTGGGTCTACGGCACAGCAGCATCCGGCGATGCAATCGCAATGCGGCCTTGTGCGCATCTCTAAGGGGGTCAAAACTGAGGCAGCGAAACGGGCAGTGCAATTGAGCCTGCAGGCCATTTAAGCCAATTGGGCATGCAGCCGCCTTGCCTCCCCCCATTTCAAGTTGCCAGCTTTCTTACGCCCCGCAGCGCTCATATGAGCGGTGTGGAAGGTCGCTACATCAAAACTTGCATGCAGCGATGTTGTGCGCAGCATCTGGTTGCGATGCGCTTGCAGCTGTGCACCGCAGTCGAATTCAAAAGGACACCGGACATACGAACTAAACTCAATGACTCAACCCCTTTCAAAAGTGTTGGCTGCGGCCGTCAGGGGAACCCCACAGGATAGCCACAAGACGTGCCACAATCACGGAAGAAGCAGGGCTGAGGCCTTCAGCACAAGCACCTGGCTCAGATTTTCGAGAGCTCCCTACTCCCTACAAGCCATCTAGCCACCAGAACTCCGAAGTGCTACGAATCGAATGTTAAACTGCCTTAGAACATCTTCGGGCTCCGAGCACCCTAAAGCCATCGGAAGCCACAAATCCCCAGGCTTTCGGGTTTGGGGCTTAAGGTTCATGGCGAGCTTTAAGTGGGGTAAGAAGTACCCCAAAGAAGGCTACAACCAGATGTAACTAGAGTGACACCGACTTCTCACTCCACTTATCAGTACCCATGAATTTCCCAAAACCCTAAACAAGGTTAAGTTACCCTACTTAGAATTAACCACTTATAAGCACCCATGAAACTCCTGGTACACCCGGCCTTGGGCAGCTTGTCCGGGGCCACAAAGCAGCCGCCCAGCAGATAGGGGCTCATCGGCCGTTCCGACAGAACGTCGTACCAATTCGCCCCTGCAAGTGTCCGAAAAACTAGGGTTTAGGGTTCAGGGTTTGGGGTTTAGGGAGTTTAGAGTTTAGGTTTTAGGGTTTAGGTTTTAGGGTTTGGGGTTTGGGGTTTAGGGTTTAGGGTTTAGGGAGTTTAGAGTTTAGGGTCTAACCTGTTTGGGGCGCTTTTCAGGGACATGGTATTTTGCGGCTCATGAGGGTGCGGGGCATTGGGGCATTGAGGCTCGTACGGGGCCAGGGGATTTGTATCTCGAATCTCGGCAGATGGTGAAGGCTCCCGAAACCCAAAACCCTAAAACCTACCAAACCCTAAGCCCTAAACCCTAAAACCTTAAACCCTACCGAACCCTTCCAGTGGTGAGGGTCGCTGCTTCACAAGCCAGAAACCGAAACTTCAGATTCATTCAGAGACCAAGGTACTAGGACTTTAGGGCTTTAGGGCTTAGGACTTTGGGGCTTCAGGGTTTTTGCATTTGGGGTTTTTGGCTTAGGGGCGTTTAGGACTTCGAGCCCAAAATCCGAAGCGCTTGTGGAAGCAGCGGATCTGGAAAATCACAAGAAGGTTTCGAACAAGAGGGTTGAATTAGGCATTCTGTGGTGTCAGCGACATGGGGCCAATGATGAGTCAACTGGTCGAAGAACCTCCATGTAAAGCCCAACTCTGAAATCTTTGCTTCGCGGTCTGATCAAAGCCCGGACCCTAAACTCTACACCCTGTGGGCCCTATAAAACTTATGACCCTATGAAACCCCCCTAAACCCTGAACCCTACACCCTAAAAAACCCGAAGCCCAAGCCAGCCTGGTGAAGGAGCAGGGCCCGGGCAGTAGCTCTGCGGACTGTGCGCCGTGGTGTTGGCCGCGTTGTTCAGGAAGATCCATGCAGTGCCATTTCTGGCTTTCCTGGTTGGGCTGTCGGGCTTTGAAGGGCTTTATAGGGTTTAGGGCTACGGGTTGCGGGTTGTCGGTTTACAGCTGAGGGTGTCAGGCTGAAACTATGATCTTCGGGCTTCCGCCTTGGAAGCATGGAGGGAAGGATCTTTTCCCGGCCTCGTGAAAACCAGGCTGGTCGTGGTAAGGCCCTGGACCTCCGCGTCACCTATGCTGATGCCCAAGTCCTTCCGGATCCCATTCCTGGGCTCGGCATCGGGCGCGTTCGCTTGCGGGGAGAAGATGAGGTGAAGGTTCTGTCGAGAAAAAACTGACAGCTGTGCTTGAGCAGTTAATTTCATAGCCGCTTCTGGGCTTGGAGGGCTTAGGTTCAAGCCGGGGTTCATACTCCCTTCGAGGACAAGTCAGAATGGCTTGGGCTTCAGGGTTTCAGTTCTGGGGTGAGGGCGCCAGTGTCAGTGTTTCAGTTCTTCTTGGGGCGAGGGAGGAGGCTTCTTGATTCTTGAGTGCCTCTGGAAGGCGACCCCATCTAGGCCCCACGCCCTTAGACCCTCAGACCCCCATGTCCTCTAAACCCTAAACCCTAAAGCGTAACTATCCCTAAACCCTAAACCCTAAACCCTGAACCCTGAACCCTAAACCCTAAACCCTAAACCCTAAAGCCCTAAACCTCTCAGAGCTCCCGGAGCTGAGGCGCAGCTGGGCCAGGAAGCGGTATTGCCAGGTGTCGGTCCGGTACCGCGTCTGCCACCTCGGCTTGAGAGAGGGAACCCCAAGAAAAGCTTCAGAGGGTTTAGGGTTTAGGGTTTAGGGTTTAGGGTTTAGGGTTTAGGGTTTAGGGTTTAGGGTTTCGGGTTTAGGGTTTAGGGTTTAGGGTTTAGGGTTTCGGGTTTAGGTGGGTTTTGGGTTTCGTGTTTCGGGTTTCGGGTTTAGGTGGGTTTAGGTTTTAGGGTTTGGGGTTATTGGGGTTTGCAGAGCTTATAAAGTTTGTAGGGTGTAGGGTTTGTAGGGTTTGTAGGGTTTGTAGGGTTTGTAGGGTTTGTAGGGTTTGTAGGGTTTTTTGGGTTTATAGGGTTTGTAGCGTTTATAGGGTTTATAGGGTTAAAAGGGTTTAAAGGGTTAAAAGGGTTAAAAGGGTTAAAAGGGTTAAAAGGGTTAAAAGGGTTAAAAGGGTTAAAAGGGTTAAAAGGGTTAAAAGGGTTAAAAGGGTTAAAAGGGTTAAAAGGGCTAAAAGGGCTTAAAGGGTTAAGAGGGTCTAAGGGTTTCTAGAGTTTCTAGGGTTAAAAGGGTTAAAAGGGTTAAAAGGGTTAAAAAGGGTTTGTAGGGTTAAAAGGGTTTATAGGGTTTATAGGGTTTAGGGTTGGGGATCCAGGGTTTAGGGCTGAGGGTTCCTTGTGCTCGGAAGAAGCATTCGGGAGGCTTTAGAGGTCTTATGGCTGAGGATCTCCCAGAAGAGTCCACAGGGTTGAGCCCGGGATGTTCCCCCTTATACTAGCAGCTTAGTACGGATTGTGATAGGGGTTACTATAGTCCCTCCTAGGGACTATTAGTATAAGGGGGAACACCCCAAACACTAAACCCTAAACCCTAGACCCTAAACCCTAAACCCTAGACCCTAAACCCTACACTTTAAACCCTAAACCCTAAACCCTAAACCCTAAACCCTAAACCCTAAACCCTAAACCCTAAACCCTAAACCCTAAACCCTAAACCCTACGTTTGCAGAGGGGGGAACGTCCCAAGCAACAAAACTGACGGAGGTCTTGGGCTTTATGGGGGAAGGAGAGCCGGGCAGCAGCGACTCTCGGAGCGCGTCCTGAAAGGGCTCTCTGTAGGAGTCTCAGGAAAGCCCCTTAAGCCCTAAACCCTAAACCCTAAACCCTAAACCCTAAACCCTAAACCCTAAACCCTAAACCCTAAACCCAACGCCCTGAACCCCGGAAGAAGCAGGTCCTGGCCGAGGTTGTTGTCACGGCTCTGGTGGCCATCCAGGCCCTGCTCCGTCCCATAGTAGACAATGGGGATGCCTGAAAACCGGGGGCTCAGCGGCTTAGGAGTTAGGGTTTAGGGTTTAGTTTTTAGTTTTTAGTTTTAGGGTTTATGGTTTAGGGTTTAGGGTGTAGGGTTTACAGGGGGGTTGCCTGCGGGGGTTTAGGGGGTTTACAGGGCTTGAGATTTAAGTGGGGCTCAAGGGAGTTCAGGGGCAAATAAAAGGGCGTCCGTTTTGTCCTGCCCAACAATGAATTTCGAGGGGTTCAGCTCTCGGTCTCAGAATTGGGTTTGGGTTTCGGGGCTTTAAGGGACTGTTGTGGTTTACATACCTGGCTGGTGTGTCTGAAGCGCTGCTGGCTTCGGTCTACTTGAAGTGCTGCCGCTGTACCATGTAGGGCTTTAAGGAATGTCTAGATGGACCTGACAGGTAGCCCCCACTTGGGTGCCCCACTACCTTCCATTTTTGTCGGAATTTGCTGCCCCTACGGGGCCTCGCCAAAGCATGACGAAGGCAAGGGCCTGTCGAATGCGCAGGGTGTCGTGACCTGGGCATACCGGTTCTTGCCGGTCTGGGGCTCAGAGGCTTAGCTGTTCAATAGCGTTTAGGGTTTGGGGTTTGGGGTTTGGGGTTTGGGGTTTGGGGTTTGGGGTTTGGGGTTTAGGGTTTAGGGTTTGGAGTGGGGTTCAATTCATCATTCCTGTCATTTGGGGTGTTTAAGAAGGGTTTTGGGTTTCTTGTTTAGGGGCCTGGCAGGGGGTCTCCGACCCAGCGAGAGAACTATGAAGGCTGGGCGGCGGCAGTAGTGGTGAAGGCGCCCATACTCGTCGTGGTTGTCGACGAAGTTACCGAGCAGCTCCAGGTCACCAAAAAGTCTTGACCTGGAAACTTGGGTGTAGGCTTTGTTGGGAAAAGACGGCCGGAAAGACTCTAGAGTTGGGGGTTTAGGGCTGCAGGGCTTGGCGATTTGAGTTTGGCTCTGGGATTGGACTTCGTGTCTAGCTCCCGCACCCCTCAACTTACAAAACTTACAAAGTCTGAGCTTTTGCCCGAAACTGTCAACCTCGAAAACCGGCTCAACCCCAAACCCTGCACCCTCAACCCAAAATTCTGACAGGGAGCGAGTGCTGCAGGGAAAGTACGCTTCCGAGGCCCATGAGGTTTGCCTCGTGGAACCAAGTCCCTGACACGCGGATACACGAGGAGTCGCGATGAGAGTCTCAAGGTTTACATCGAAATTTGCTTCGTATCTGGGACGCATATCGTCGCGTTGTCGGGACTGCGCACGTCCTAGAACACTTCTTGACTTACTACTATAAAAACCCCAATCCTCACTTGCAAACGCAGATTCAATGCGAAGTACTCGAACTGTGTCGGGAGGAATCCATGATCCCAAAACGCCATGGTTGAACATTCATTCTTTATTTGACCGTCTGACGCTCAAGAACCTCAGATACTCGACATCTCCTTGCTTGTTTCCGTTGACATCCTGTCACTGCGCTCACCTGGGAATAGTTGGATAGCTTAGAATCCCAAAACACTTCTTAGGCTTGAGGGCTTCAGGGCTCAGGGTTAGGAATAAATGTCCCCTACGCCTGGCCCCAAAACCAAGCAGAAACTTTGCAGAAAGCTCATAGACCGTATGACAACCTTGAACCCTGCCTGGAGGCTCTTTTGAGTTCGCAAGTCTGCTTAGTATCCCCTGGAAGCCCTACTATACCTATAACTCACCCTTCCTAACCCCACTAAGTCAAAAGGGCTTCCAAGCAAAACCCGTTAAAACCCCATAGAAACCCTAAACCCTCAACCCTCAACCCTCAACCCTCAACCCTAAACCCTAAACCCTAAACCCTAAACCCTAAACCCTCAACCCTAAACCCTAAACCCTGAACCCTATACGACCCAAGCCTTGATGGCTGTAGTCCCCGAAGTCCCCGCCGATTTGATAGGCGCAGAAGCCCTCAGGGACCTGTTGCAAGGGCGTATGAAGGGGGCTTGTCCTAAACGGTCTGTAGGGATTCGGGCTTGCGGTTTAGGGTTTGGGGTTCAGGATTTGGTCTTTGGGGGGTCGACGGGATCCAGGGGGGGGAGGGGGGGGATCCTTCTGAACGCGCAATCCTCCTATAACAAGGAGATCCGAGTTCAAAGTCATGCCTGCAGTTTCCTAAATCCAAAGCCCTCCGCCATTTTCTCCCAAGTCAGAGCGGATCAAAGTACAGGGCGAGTTTGGGCTTCTTTGGAGTTTAGGTGTAGCTCGGCGGTTTCTTGCTCAAGCTTGGGGGGGGGGGGGGGCCTTGAAACTATTTTCGGCGTTGTAGAACCCCCAAAACCTTAAGCGTCCAACCCTAATCCTGTAAACCCTGTGACAGGCCATGTAGAACCCCAGAAAGCCGAAACCCTGAACCCCCAAACAAAAACCTAGAAGGCCTCAAAGCCGTTGGGCACGAGCCCCCCTAAGCCCCGTAAAGCCCACCCGAACAAACTGCTTTAAACCCCCCTTACACCCCCCTTATGCCCCCTGTAACTTGGAAGCCCTTTTGAGTAAGCAGGGTTAGTACGGTGGGTTATGGGGACTATCATGCGGTTTTGTAAGGGATGCTAAGAAGACTTACAAAGTCAAAAGAGCTTCCAAGTATGGCACAGACCCTAAACCCTAAACCCTAAACCCTAAACCCTAAACCCTAAACCCTAAACCCTAAACCCTTAGAGCAACCCTACGTAGGCCTTGTAGAAAGGTGGGAAGTTGAGGAGGCCTGCCAGGCCGGGTCGGCCAGGGCCTCCCATGGTTTGGAGAAGGGTTTAGGGTTTCGGGGTTTGGGGTTTAGGGTTTAGGGTTTAGGGTTTAGGGTTTAGGGTTTAGGGTTTAGGGTTTAGGGGTTTAGGGGTTTAGGGTTTAGGGTTTAGGGTTTAGGGGGTTTTAGGGTTTAGGTTTAGGGTTTGAGGGTTTAGGGTTTAGGGTTTAGGGTTTAGGGTTTAGGGTTTAGGGTTTAGGGTTTAGGGTTTAGGGTTTAGGGTTTAGGGTTTAGGGTTTAGGGTTTAGGGTTTAGGGTACCTTATTGGGGTCCTTATTATCAGGGGATCCTAGTACTTGGAGGTCTACTTTAGGGTCCCCCATTATCGTAAACCCCGATGTCGGGGACGATGCGTGGTTCATGAGACAACACGGCAAACAAGATGAGCCCTAAACAGTCAACCCTAACACATTTGGCCCTCTTCAGGGAACTTCTCAGGCAGCCCCTCTGGCCGACATTCGAGCCCCAGCGGTCGCCAAGTCAGGGATGCGCTTGCAGAGTTTAACCCTGGCTTCACCTGGCAGGGTTGAGGGTGTTTAGCTGGACAGTAGAGTCTCACCGTGCCATCGGTGCCATCCTTCCTCCGCGACGCCGAAAGCAGCATTCGGGGAAGGCAAGGGCACTCGACCTCTGAAGTGGGGGGGGGGGGGGGGGGGGGGGGGGCGCCAGCTTTTTGTTGTCGGTGCTGCTGCCTGTCTTTGCTGTCAGTCTTTGGGGTGAAGAAATCATGGTCGGATTCTCCACTGGTTTGTGGCTTCAGCCATGTGCCGTTCAAAACAGGCCATCCTCTGTGCGCCGCTGTAAGCCTGAAAGATCTTGACTTTTAGGTGCAGGGAAAGATAATGGGGCAATGACCTGACCGGCTGCAAGAGCGAGTAGCCGCCGCGACTACCGTGGCCAGCATGGGCTCAACAGGCATTCGCCCGGGCCATGACAATGCACGTGGGCTCTTAAACCGACACGCTGTCCGCTTTGTGCAGGGGATTGAAAGCGGACCCGAAATTCGGAATTTCAGCATGGTGGTGTGCCATGCGGTGAGACGGAATCTGACACTCAGATTCGGAGTATATACATAAGCATCCGGTTCCCTGTTGCCCTGAAAGCGCAAGGTTCTTGGTACTAGGAAGGCTGCGTTTGTACTAAGTTCCTAGGGCACTTGCCTAGGCTCCTAGAGCCAAGCCGATGTCACATGCCGCAGGTCGCTCGCATCTCCTGCCCGAAGGCCGGCCATCTTTCTCCCGACATCGTCCAGGAAGCCGTGATCGCACTTTGGGTTCATCTTCAGAAAGCGCAGCATGCGGGTCCAGCTCATGCGTGACAGGAGCCGCTGCATGTTCCGAGCTGCAGAAGGCGACAACTGTGTCAACTCTGCTTTCTGCTTGGAGATCTCCCGGTGGATCTGCTGTTGCACGCTGAAGGACTCGATCACAAGGCCATCATCGCATGCGCGTTGAAAGACCTGGTGGAGAACCAAGTCCAGCACCTCCACCGCAGACATGCTTTGCATCATCGCTCGCTGCTTCTTGTCGGCCTTCACATGGGTGTCCACGGCGGGCCTCAGCGAACCAGGTGAGACGCTGTTGGGTCGGAGGCCCCCGGTGCCAAACTGCCACCCACCCCAAACAGCCCGATCACCCCTCGATGCAGGAGCCACAAAAAGAAGAGATCGGGCCGAGATGCCAGCCCTTCGTCCGAGCTGCCGCTGGCCCGTCCGAGGAGTCCATGGGCGTGTCCTGCTACGGTGCTTTTGGGCTTGTGGGAGCTTGTGGGTTGAGGTTTTCGAGTTTTTGGGCAGGCTCTAAGGTCTATGCCCCTCTGCTGGTGCTCGGAGCTTGTTTTGCCGGCTTCAGGTTCCACATGCTTCCACACAAATGGAACCCGACTCTCCCATAAATCGGCAACTAGGGCATTCGACACACAAGCGCGTCCTCGGCTTCGAGCAATCGGCGGGCGTCTTCGCAATTTTCATGTGCTACTACACATTGGAGCCCAGAGGTCGCCAAATCAGAGATTCGCTTGCAAAGTTTCACTCTGGCTTCACTTCGCAGGGGTTGAGGGTTTGGGGTCTTTACTTTACAGCGCATGGTTAGGGCGTACGACTTGATCACTGCCTCAGGAGTTGCGATGCACAAGCCTGTCTGGTGCTTAGCAACAGATTGGAGGAGTAGGATCCCGAAAGTTGCTCTAGGATCCCATCGCAGTACCAATAGTCACTTGTGGGCAGGTCAGGGTACACAAATATACTGGTTTGTATGTATGTATGCGTATATATATATATATATATATCCATATATGTGTATACATGCATATGCAAATACATATATGCATGTATGTATCTGTATATATATATATATATGTGTATACACACATACTTCCCTTTTTTATGTGTGTGAGAGAGTGAGAGATGTGTGTATATACATATATATGCATAACATATGGTCAGTTCTCTAAATTTCGACTCTAAGTCAGGTCCCTTGTGGTTACCCCCAAAAATTCGGGGGTCCACCTTAGAACGAAAAACTCAAGCAAGGGACGAGAATTTAGAGACGCGACCCACACACATACAACATACAACATGAAATCGCGCGACCTGGGCCACTCCCGGCTTCGAGGGACCCTGCCTCGCATCAGCGAGGCCTGGTAGGTTAGGTTGTTGACGGTTGCCTGCGCCGCGCTCGAGTATGCGGCTTATATAAAGCTTTTGGGGCTTAGCATCAAGGGCTGGGCTGCTTAGTTTGTTGGGGGAAGTGCGAATGACTCTGTACCAGCGTGGGTCTGCGAACATGCCAGCCTCGCCGATAATCTCGACGCCGGCTGCTTCCTCGAACAAGTCACGCTGAGGGCTTGCACAGGGGCAGATTCAACACTCTAGGCTACTTGAAGTTCGTGGGTTTGCTTTCGGTAGGGTTACAAGTACTGCAAGCACCCGACTTTTTGTTGGGTTCTGAGCTAGGGGATCCAAAGCTCACGTCCTGCACCATGGGAAGGAAGTCCCTGTCGAGGTAGATTGCGGTATCCAAGCGCAGTGCATCCACACCTTGGGAGCCGTGGCGTTTTTTTTGGGGTTCAGGCCTGTGGGTCTAGAGCTTAGGTTGTGAAGGGGCAAGGCTCTTGCAGAATCATTCTCGGTGGCGCCCTTCTACAAGATTGACCCTGCAAAGTCGATGAATGATGAATGATGAATGCCCAGGATGAATTTTCTTTGTCACGAAGCAACGCCCTTCACCGCTACAACGTTCTCGCGTTCACAGAATGATGTGCACGTGCTCGCGTGCTCGAGCCTGCCTTTTGGGTTTTGGGGCGTTAGTCGCAGGGGGGCGCGCGGGTTTTGAGTTTCGGCCTCCACTCTAAGCCCTACATCGCAGGGCTGCTCCGAAACCCTCAACCCTAAACCCTAAACCCCAAACCCTAAACCCTAAACCCTAATCGGGGACAGCTGGCTGTAGTTAACCACCATGCCCTTCACGAAGGAGAGCAACTGCTCACGAACGTACGGGTTGCTCTGGTTCAGGTCCTTGGCAGAACTTGCGCGCTCTACTTGGAGGTTCATGGGTACGTAGAACCCCAACTAGAACTGGACTTATAAGCCCCCTAAGCCCTTTAAGTCGACTGGTAACTGGGGTTAGAAGTACCATGAACCTCCAAGTAGTCAGGGGGCTTGGGGGCTTGTAATGGGCATACAGTTTTGGCTGTAGGCTTTGCAGCGATCCAGGCGGGCTTCAGGAGAGTTCGGACTTGGGTGTGTATTTGGCGCAGAGGCAGTCTAATACAGGAGCCTGTAGAATTGAATGGGTCTTTTGCGGAGCTGATTTATTAAAATGGGTGGGGATTCTGAGGCTCTGAACCCCAAGCCTTCTGAACCCTAAGCCTTAAACCCTAGCCCGAAACCCCAAAATCCCTGAATCCTTGAACCCGACGCCCCCTGGCCGGTATGGGCACTCGAAGAGCCAAGACGTCTTCTTGCTCCCAGGGCACGCCCATTACACCGAGCCAACCTGCGGCAAAGGCCAGTCGATGGCTTTAGGGTGTGGAGGTTTAGGGTTTAGGGTTTAGGGTTTAGGGTTTAGGGTTTAGGGTTTAGGGTTTAGGGTTTAGGGTTTAGGGTTTAGGGTTTAGGGTTTAGGGTCTAGGGCTCAGTGTTTAGGGTTTAGGGTTTAGGGTTTACGGTTCAGGGTTTAGGGTTTAGGGTTTAGGGCTTAGGGAACTAAAGCTTGCCTCCTCTTGCCTCCCTTTTGCTCCCTGTTGCCTGTGCTGAGGTCCGCGTGCCGGAAGGAAGGGCAATTTGGGCCCGAATTCCCTGGGAAGCAGCTGCATTCCTGGGGCTTCCGCTCAGGGTTTTAAGTGTAAAGCTTAGTTTTTTTGAGGGTCTAGGGTTGGAGCTCAAACGAGGGTTTCGATGTGGGAGGGATGCTGAAACGCCCGGTTGCTCTCGGCATTAGAGTTTCGGGTTTAGGGACTCACGCACAGCTGTAAGGTCTTGCGCCAACAACTCTCACAACAAGCTGAACGGCTCCCGCAACACCGGCTTTTGGTGCTCTCGGGCTCGGGGGATTTAGGGGGTTGGGAGTTGGGGGTTGGAGGGTGGGGGTTTGGGGATTGTGGGGGTTGGGGGTTTATGTTCAGAGTTGAGGACTCATGCGTTTCCAGTGCACGGGAACGAACTGCAGGCCAAAGCACTGTGTGGTCCGCAACGGTGTGGCCACAGGTCGCCTGGGCTGGAGTGTCTCAAGTACCCACCACCTCCTACCATCTCCTCAGAATCGGTTGGGGCGGGGGAGGGGAGGGTGGGTGGGGGGGCATCTGGGAGAGGATCTGGGGCTGACGGGGTTTAAGGATCCAGGCTGCGGCTGACAGGGGCTTTCCAGTTCTTAGTAAGAGGAAATCAAGTTGGATAAGTCCCCAATTCCCGACTAAGAACTTGCAATGTCGTTGATTTGCCAGGATCAGGGGGGGGGGGGGAGAGGGGGCCCCTCTTATGCCATAAATATGGCAGAGTTCCCGAATCCCTACACCACAATCGCTCAAACATGGCACCCTAATTTTGGGACCCCCCCCAAGTTGCTGTGTATTCTACAGAGCTGCCTGTCATGACGGCAAGCTGGGGGCTGTTTTTTGTTCGACTTTTCGGCCCTTGAATGATTCTGAACTGGGGGATATAAAAGTCTATGCGTTGAAAAGGACCAGGGAGGGTTTGCCGAACGAGTTGGGTATTGACTTGGCTCTGTGATACCTCGGCTTCTTCTAGTCTGTAGCAGCCAAACCGACAGCCCGCAACCCTAAGTGAGGATATAGCCATGCCTGCACAACCCAAATCCTGAAACCTAAGCTGAAAACCCTACTGTACGAACCCTTGCGAACCCTAAACCCTAAACTCTAAACCCTAAACCCTAACACCCGTACACCCTGAAACGCTGACCCCTAAACCCTAGCAGTCAGGCCGCTTCCTCGCCCTGCGAGACATTACGCAGTTGTGCATTGTCCTCTCAACACACAAGTGCGCTGCTTGTTCCGGACTTTTGTCATGTATGGCTTTAGGGCTTACAGGGGTTTGCAGGCTTTAGGGCATAGGTGCTTTAGAGTTGTGGCGCAGGGCTTTGGGGTTACACTCTGAGCCTCCTTCCTCTAAACCCTAAACCCTAAACCCTAAACCCTAAACCCTAAACCCTAAACCCTAAACCCCGCAAGCCTAAGCCACACGGAGCCTCGCCGGGGTTGAAGGCCGGAGGTGGCCAGGAGGCAACGTACTGGGCGAAGGTCTGGTTGGCCGAGCGGTTCCTCTGGTTGTAGTAGCTCGCCTCCAGAAGGTTTTTAGGGTTTAGGGTTTAGGGTTTAGGGTTTAGGGTTTAGGGTTTAGGGTTTAGGGTTTAGGGTTTAGGGTTTAGGGTTTAGGGGCTTTGTGGTGGTGAGGTTTCAAGCCTTAGTGTGGGTTGAGGGTTAGTGGGATTTGAGGAACCATAAGCCCGTGACCCCTGACACCCTAAACTCTGAACCTAAAGTGGAGGTTTAGGCTTTGGGGGGTCGGGAGGGGCGGGGGCGGAGTTTTTTTTTCGTGGCTTGATTCAGCAAAGTTTAGGAAACTCTTAGAGGAAAGCTCAATCCCTCGACCCTCATGCCGGTCTGGATAAACACTCCACCCAACCGTCCTCATTGAAAGGGACGATGGAAGATAAGTTCACGGTCCCGTTGACCAGCAAGGGCCTCAACCAGCCAAGCGGTGGAAGGCTGGTTTTCGGCCTATCCCCCCCACCCCAAAATAGAAGTTGGGCGGGTCCCTTATTCGGGGGCCTCGATGGACATCCGTACATCCGTTATACCCTGCAAACTCCGAGGCCCAGACCGCATGTGATTCAGCACAATGTCGACAATCAGGCACATGCTGCGGTCGTGCAGCGCAGATGACAGGCGCACCAAGTCTTCCTGGCAACACTTTCTGAACGCAAGTCCTGTTCCTGAGCTGTGCGACTGAAGCCCCTATAGAGACCCGGAACTTCATTTCATCTTGAAGTGCAGCTGCAACCCAAATCTGAGCAGGACAGAGGGATCTCTCGGAGTGCCACTGTTGTCCAGTTCGAGGCTGAGGCCGTGGGGTTCTGCAGTCCGACGTAGTCTTTCAGCTGAGTTCTATGAAAACGTGGTCCTGCGTGCCGAAGTGCTGATTGATCTGGAACAGGTTTGTGGCATCGTAGCCCATAAACCTGACGAGCAAGCTGCTATGAGACACACCCCAAGATGCTACACCTGGAGACCCAGACCTTTTAATAAAACCAAAACCCCCGAAGCCCTATGACCCCGAAACCCTAATGAATTCTTGTAAACCCTAAAACCATCATCTTTGATAAGCCCTAACCCCACGCCCACCGGGCAAAAATCCGGGACTGCTCAGGCAGAGCACTCCAGGAATGTGTATGCGTGTGTGTGTGTGTGTGTGTGTCTGTGTGTGTGTACGACGAGTCGATACGGTATTGGCCAGAAGCTCCGCTACGACGTTGAGATGTAACCCCGCTCGTTATCAGCAAAAACTGGCAGCAAAGCACTCAGGTGTCTCCTTTTGCTCTAGCAGCATAGACTACAGTAGTAGTTCCTATCTCCAGAACCACGGACCAAGCCACAGCATGCCAGGTTGTCTAAACTCCACAGTTCACTGGTCATATTTCATCCCTTCACATTTACGAACAGCCTTGCAAAGCCCAAACCCGTAAAATGTGTGTTTCGGCCCTCGACCACTGGACAAGTCGCCCCTGAGACTCCACGGGAGGCGTGATCCAGAGGCAATCGAAGCCCATGCCCTCGCCAGGAGGACCAGGATAGGGGTGAGTGGAGGGCCCGTCGGGGCCCCATGGAGTTCACTTTACTTCGGGCTTGGGCTGGGTTGCCGCTTGAGGTTCGGGCGGAGCCGCATGCTCCCATTCCGCCTGAAGTCTAGCAGCACCCGCACAGCGAGCTACAACCAGCGCAGCTACTCTGCATCCCTCCCGCCTGGATATAGTCCAACTGCTTGGTGATGCCATTGATCGTACCACCACAGAAGCCTCCTCCAGTATTATTCACCCAGTCAGCGGGCAAGTCGCAGGGCGTGGTGTTCACGGCCTGCTCCCCACTGCGAGCAAAGCGATCGATGACAACGAAGTAGATGGACTTGCCAGCGAGCGTAAACCTTAGGGCTACGAACTTCCCAACGCCAAGAGCCAGGGTAAAAGGAACGGCCAACAGTGCGGTAAGGTTAGCAAGGGGTTTTCTGCTGAACATCTTGAGCTACCGAAACTGAGGCCTGTGGGCTTTGGGCATTATGGACCCTTTAGTGATCAACCCGTGGCGGCAAAAGATCCAAACAACTCGATCAGTCCCCAAATGCCCCTGAACCCACAAAGCCCTCAACCCTGAATATCCTGAGTCTCCGAAACCCGAAACCACTCTTGCCCCCAAACCCTAAACCCTATAAGCCTTAAGCCCTAGATACCGCATGAACCAAACCCCTGAACCTGGACCCCAAACATCCCAACCCCAGACCCTCAACCCAGCCCTCACTCTAACCCTGAGTCCTCAAAGCCCCTTCTCTGTCCCCAGCGGAGCGGCTCGCTGCTCGCCCCTAGACTCCGGCCGCCTGCACAGCGTAGCAGAAGCCACAAGAGCCTTGCAAAAGGTGCGGGGGCTTCATGAACTACCGTAACCTAGGGTGCAGAGCTTAGGGCTTTTCAGGGGTAAGGCTTAAAGTATTTAGGGCTTGCGGTTTAGAGGTTTAAGCAAGATGGCCCACATCTCTTGAATTGTGGGGTAGTTTGGGCCCTTAGGGTACCTTGGAAATTCGGACTGGATGGCGTAGGGGCCCAGATGGCTTGGGTTTCGCCTGAGTTGCGATCCGGGTGGCAACCAGCTACGGCGATGCGGAGCAGCTTGCATGGTTTTTGCAACACTTTAAAGTTTAGGGTTTAGGGTTTAGGGTTTAGGGTTTCGGGTTTAGGGTTTAGGGTTTAGGGTTTAGGGTTTTCATGAATCTATTTGCACAGAGGCAATGGATTTGGCTTTGGACCAAGTTGATGTACTCAGATGGCTGGTTGTAGCGGGACTGCCGTACAACGGCCTGGAGCCATTGGCGGCGGCGAACGCGAAGCCCGAATGATTGCCAAAAGCCAAAAGCTGAATCAAAAAGGAAGCTTCTGTGCTTTCTGGGCATCCAACGAGGGAATGATGGGGACCACCAAGCAAACCCTAAACCCTAACCCTCAATGGCCCTAACCCTAAACCCTAAATCCTAAGCCCCTAAACCCTAAACCCTCAACTGCCCTGAACCCTAAACCCTAAACCCTAAACCCTCAACCCTCAACCCTCAACCCTCAACCCTCAACCCAAACCCCCCCCCCCCATTTTTGCAAGCTCCTCGCCTCGGGACCGGCCCTGCGCGCGACTTCCACACTCGGCCTATGTCGAAGTGAACTCGGATGACGCCCTTTCAGCGGCCCTCTGCTGGGTTCCTGTCAAGGTCCCTAGGTTACCATCATATCACAACATAAGTAAGACGAAGACTTAAACAGCAACCCAGTGTGCTGCTCGTGCTGCCAGGGTTGCTGTCAGGCATTTAGGGCTTAGGTTGGGTGTAGGGGCGTGGGCTTCAGAGTTTCAAGGCCAACGTTCAGCAACAAAAACACTGCCGGTGAGGGGTTTCATATCTGCGGTCAGAACTACAAGCACTGACCAGGTGGCCCTTCGCTTGATGGCTCTGCAGCTTTCTCGCTTTGGTGTAGCCGGGACTCAAGGAAACGTGGCACAGTGGTATCGTCAGTTGCTCCTAGCTTCTGCAACTCTGGTGCTGTTCCTGAATTGCTAAAATCGGAAAAGCACGGGCGTTTGCTGTCCACTCTCGCCTCTGCCCCTCAAGCAAGTTAACCAAGCGCTGCTGGAGGATCCGCAAAGACACTCTCTCAAGCGATGGCCAACGCCCAGTGCAATGCCAGCGTAGGCCCAGCATGCAAACAGTTGCCGCATGGTCAGCCCGGATCACGATGCAACGCACAGCGGGTTTAGACATTCAGGGGCAATAGTGGCAAATGTCGCGCTATTCAGCCTGGAAGCATCAAGCGTACTGAATTCTCCATGGCAGCTAGCGCAGGCTAGCTAGCCCTCTACACTCTTTCGAGTGAGCTGGCGTACCTGGCAGTCCACGAGTGCAGCGCTATGACTGTTATGACAGTGCCTGCGTGACTGCTTTCGTGCTCGTATGCAAACCCAGAGAGCTCAATACTCCCTTAATTCAAGAACATACCTTAGATTCTAAAGAGATCCTTAATATGATTTAGGGCATAATCTTTATTAAAGGGGTATTGGGCTCTCTGGGAAGTCCCTGAGCACACTCCCTGGCACGACAGAAATGCCCTCAAGCGTCAACCCCTGCCGGGAAAACAGAAGCGAAGAAGGGTCACTCTCAATCAATTCTGCAGATTCCTATCGACACCTTGAGACCCAAAAGCCCCCCATAAACCCTAAACCCTCAACCCTACACCCTCAACCCTAAACCCTAAACCCTACACCCTAAACCCTCAACCCCTAAACCCTAAACCCTAAACCCCTAACCCTAAACCCTAAACCAGGAGCCCGAAACCCCACCGCAAGGGGGGAGCCTTCTTCTTCCAGCCCTCCGGGTCGTTCTTCAAATGCACGGCCGCGTCGATGTTGGCCGGCGAGTTCAGGTTGGGGTCCAGGAGCATGGAGATGACCTCAAGAAAGGACTCAGGGTTCAGGGTTCAGGGTTTGGGGTTTAGGGTTTGGGGTTTAGGGTTTAGGGCTAGGGCAGGTAGGGCATGTAGAATACTTCAGAGATTTAGGGTTACGGGCTGTTTCACCATGAATGAGGTGCAAGGTTTGGGACCTGGGAAGACCATCAAAACTTGGAGTACCTCACTCGTGGGCAAGGGGCATTCTTCGGCCGACAGGTTAGGCGGTTAAACTCATGCAGTGCTATGTCTTTATGCCACCGACATCATGCCCCAACCTGACGACCGTAAACCCTGAACCCTGAACCCCCGAAACCCTGAACCCTAAACCCTCGACAATGCTGCAAATACTTAAGAAGAAGGCTGCACCACTGTCATAAACCCTGGACCCTAAACCCTAAACCCGAAACCCTAAACCCTAACTCAACCTGGGTCGGTTGGTGACCCGCCCACGCCTTCCTCGCCTGTGGGAAACTATGCCGAAACACCTCCCAAGACCCCAATCAACAAAGACCCGCAACCCTCAACCTCAAACCCTAAGCCCCAAGCCCTAAACCCTCAACCCTGAGCAGCCTGAACCCTCAGCTTTAAGCCCCAAGCCCGAAGCCCTGAGCCCCGAGCCCTGAGCCAAGCCCTGAGCCCAAAAAGCCCTTAAGCCCCAAGCCCCAAGCCCCGAAGCCCCTCACGGAAGCCCCCCCGCGGGCTCCCCGGCGCTGATGAGGATGCTGTGCACACCGAGGATCGGGCGCCACCTCTCATCTGCTGTCTCCTGCCAGCATCTTAAGGGAACTAACGGTGAACCTTTGGGAGTAGAGGGACGGGTTGTGAGGGTTTAGAAAGTGGAGGCTTGGCAGGGTTTCAGGGCTCCTAGGGGTGTGGGATTTTTTTTTGGGGGGAGAGGTTCTTTGGCCTCTACGTAATTTCTGGGCTGGGTTGTAAAGTAAGGGAACTCCTTATTAGGGTATGGTTCAGGGTGAACAAGATAGCTTGAGCTTGAAGCCGAGGCAAGGGGACCTCTTAGGAAACACGAACCACATCTGGTTTTGATGGCGCAAAGACCCGCATGCAGGGTTCAGGCACCCTGAAACTCCATAGGTAGTTTTGGTGTCTTCAAGCTGCGAATCCACAGCGACAAGGTCGCCCGAAACGCAGAACTGCGCGCAGAACTGCCCGCTAACTGCAACCCTCCGATGCCATAACCCACTGCACCTCAACTCAAATCCCGACCCCAAACCTTACAAGGAGCCTACAGAGCCCAAGGTATAGGGCTGCGCTGGAGCCCTCAACCGTCGTCCTGGTCGTTGAAACGATCGGTACCCGGAGGGTGAAGGATCGAGATGCACACGCGTCCGTCCGCGTAGATGTTCGGATGCCACATCTCCGTCTCGAACCTCAGGGTATGGGTTTTGGATGGAAAGTGTTCGCCTCGGTTTCCTGCCGAGAAGCGTCTGCAGCAAGACCCGGATCAGGTCTCCTTCCCCCTAACCCAACCCCATCCAGAATTTTTTGTGACGCCAACCCCCCCCCCCCGATAGCTTGGAGCAGCTGCAAACCGATGCTGTGGAGGGTCCTACCTGTCGGTGGCTCCTACAGAGGGAGCGCGAAGCCACCCCCGCCCCCCCCACCACACCCCCCCCCCGCTTGACCTGAATCAACGGCTCCGTCTCCTACTACCGTTATCTCCACATACTGCATGCTCTGGGCCGGCCCGGCTGCCGAGGCGGCGCGCGCGCAAGCGTTTACAATGAGGCAGACCCCTACACGTGTACCGCAGAACTCCAGTCTACTGTCTCGGGCGTCTGGAGACCTAGAGGGCCAGAAATCGCCCGAGCCGCAAGCCCCACAATGATGAAATATGATGCACCAAGGGAGCTATTTCACCGAAGCCCCTTTGGGATTTAGGGTTTAGGGCGTAGAGTTTAGGGTTTAGGGTTTAGGGTGGACATGAGCCTCCGCAACCCAAGGCCGACTGGGTTCCAGTCTACCAAGACGTGGGTCCCCCACTCCAAAGCTTTCGCAACGCGGGTGGCGAAGTCTTGAGATCAGGGGTGTGTGGTCATACTTTTCGATAGCGGCGCCCTCGCAGCACGGGAATCGTCCCCGTTTTCAGAATCTGACGCCGAAGGCTGAGAGAAACAACAAGAAGTAAGCCAGCCCACCTTGATACGGATTTCGGGGATGAGTGGGTAGAAAGATCTGGGAGTCCTAGGCACTATGGGATTCTTACAAACCCAAAGCATACACCCTAGACCCTAAACCCTAGCGACACCTCACATCTCGGTCCCCCACTTCATCTCCGGCGGGTTGTTCGGGAAGTCTGGTGGGAATACCAGGATGGCGCTGAAAATCCCACCCTCGTACCTGCGGGCTTGGTGCGTTTAGGGGTCAGGGGATTTAGCTTTTCAGGAAGGGCCTTCGAAACTAGGGGTCTAAGCGTTTAGACTTTCAAGTTCAGGGTTTGCGGGTGTCGGTCTTGGGGTCTAAGGGCTGTTTCTCGGAGCATAGTTTGCAGCTGATTGGGTTGAATCCTAGACAGCGTCAACAGGTTGTTTCGTGTTGAAGAATCACTTCGAGAGCACTCAAGAACCCCAGGCCTGCGCCCTAAACCCTTATATAAACCCTACACCCTCAGCCCCACTTTCGTCTACCCAAAAGGCCCTGCCGGGCCCTTGAACTCCAAGTTTGGGGTTTAGGGCTTTGGGGGCTCAGGGGTCGGGATCCCGAGCCCTCAAACCGGGGCGCACAAACTGTCCTGGGGTCCTTCGAAAACCACCTGCCACCGGAAGAAGTCCTGCCAACTCAGCTGAGATTGATCTCAGAAGGGGATTTCGTCACTTTCAAACCCCAAAACCCTTGGCCCTCTAAACCCCTAAACCCTTGGCCCCCGAAACCCCACCCTCAACCCTTGGCACCCTCTACCCTGAGCCCGTAACCTGCCCCAGACCCCCCAAAATCCAGCCCTTTGAAGCCTTAGGAACTGATGTACATGCATACCTTCTCTTTCCGGGTCGTCAGGATCAGGTTGAGGGTTTAGAGCTTCTTGAGGGGGTAGGGGGTTCGGGCTTTCAGGAACGCCCAAAAAAAGACCCCCCGGAAATAAACAGGAGTGACCCCTGCAGGCCCATCGCGGTCCGAATCATCTTCCAGCCCCACCGAGAAGCCACTCGTCTCATCCTCCCGCACTTCGCGTGCGAAGTTGCCGGCAATAGGGTTGGGGGCGGGGGGGGGGGATCCTAGAAAAACACCAGGGTATTTGGCGGGTATGTAAGGGGATCAGGCAACGCCCAAAGCACACCGGTACAGGGTTAGGGTTCCGGCCTGTTGGCCGCGCCAAACAAGTCGAGTTTTGTCAAGTTTTCTTTGCTTCCAACATGGTGCATGGCAGCGACGCGCGTGGTCTTTGCACCTGCCATGCTCTTCAGCATGTGACCACTTCGGGGCCTTGAAGGGTTTAAGGCTCGGAGCTTAGAGTTTCGGGCTTTCAGAGCCCGGCTTAGACTCGGGTGCAAGATTTTGAGCTTGGGGGTTTTGCGGTGGAATGGCAAGGGTGGACGGGAGTCCCCAACGGCCCTATGCCCGCATCAGAGAATTCCGACTGAAGGGCTGAGGCCTTCGAACTCTTCTCCGGTCCCCATCTAGCACTTATTCTTTCACATTCAGGGTTCCCCTTGAACCCTTTTAAGGGCCCTAGATACCCATAAATGCCCCAGAGTCCTTCATGAGCTGGCACAGCTCTCGCTTCAGCAACTCGCGGGCGACGTGCGACATGGCCTGCTCGGATGGGGCCGGGGGGGCAACGCAAGGCAGAGGGTTTAGGGTTTGGGGTTTAGGGTTTGGGGTTTGGGGTTTGGGGTTTGGGGTTTGGGGTTTGGGGTTTAGGGTTTATGGTTTGGGGTTTGGGGTTCCTTAAGATCAAGATCCCAAGACCTTCCTTCTGGCAGAGGAAAATGATTTTCAGTTCTTCTAACCCCTGCAGGGTGTTGACTCAGGCGTTTGGGGGGTTTAGGGTTTATGGATTGGGAAGAGGGGTTTTAGGATTTAGGTCCCCGGAAGATCTTCAGGCCCTAACCCAAACCCCTCACCCCGAAGCCCTAAACCCTAAACCCGAAGCCCAAATACCACAAATCCAAAATGAGACTAGTCCAAAAGCCTATGCTCATCATTAAGGCCCCTATAGTAAACCCCAAACCCTAAACTCTAAAGCCCCAAAGCCCTGAATCCCAAACCCTAATCCCTAAACCCTAAACACTAAACACTAAACCCTAAACCCTAAACCTAAACCCTATCATTAAGGCCCCCAAAGTAATCTTTCTGGGCAGCTCTCACAGTCGGAGCCTCACCAAATGAAGACCGTCCTCGGCTCCTCTTGCCTCGAGCAGATCCGACGGCTCCAAAGCTTAGAGGTTTAGGGCTTAGGGTTTAGGGTTTAGGGTTTAGGGTTGAGGGTTTAGGGCTGTTGAGTGTTAGCATTCAGATTGTGTGTTTTCAGCATTAAGGGTGTGAGGAGAAAGGCCCCTTGCCTGTGCGCACGCGTTGCACCAATATTGACCCCAGCCCACACAAAACATATATATATATATATCTTCATAAGCTAGCTACCCAAACTAGACTTGTATATAAAGGTTCCATGCTTACGATTGGACCCTCAACCCTAAACCTCCCAGCCCAGCCCCAAACCCCCGAACACTGCACAGGCGTTCGAAGCTTAAGGGAAACAGGCTCCGAGGGTTTGGAAACGCTTCGACCTGAAAAGAGTGGCGCTCGCACTCCTGTCAGTTCACCCTCAGCTCATAAATTCCCACTCCCGAACCACCCATGACCACACAAAAAACCCAACACCTAAGTTTAGGGTTTGGGGTTGAGGGTCTAGGGTTCCTTACCCTCAGGGCCCCAGGCAGGTTGCTGGGGAAACTGCTGACCAGCGCTGGTCACCACTTGAGCCAGGTGGCAAGCTTGAGGGCTCCGATGAAGAAGTGGGAGGGTTTAGGGTTTAGGGTTTAGGGTTTAGGGTTTAGGGTTTAGGGTTTAGGGTTTAGGGTTTAGGGTTTAGGGTTTAGGGTTTAGGGTTTAGGGTTTAGGGTTTAGGGTTTAGGTTTTATGGTTTAGGGTTTAGGGTTTAGGGTTTAGGGTTTAGGGTTTAGGGTTTAGGGTTTAGGGTTTAGGGTTTAGGGTTTAGGGTTTAGGGTTTAGGGTGAGAACAAGGGCCGGAACCAAAAAAAACACGCCAGGCCCTACCCCCATCACTCACGCAGAAGTGACCCCCCCCTAAACCCACCGGAAAACCCGAAACCCTATGCAATTCAACGCGTACTCCCCCCCCCCCCCCCTCCCCCCAATTAAAGGGCATTGGGCTCTCCCGTCTTCAAATGCGGGGGCTTTGCGGCTGTTTAGGGTTTGTAATGGTTGTGGGGGCTGGGGGTTCTCTGCACCATAGGATCTGGCTTTGGAGCTTAGGGCTCAATGCTTGTGGTTTAGGGCATGTGCTTGGGGGCATGCCCTCTAAACCCTCATTCTAAACCCTAAACCACACACCCTAAACCCTACACCCTCAGCCCAAGCCAAAGTTCGTGGTTTGGGGTTAAGAGCTTCGGGTGTTTCGGGGTGAAATGCAGGTGCAGGCTGAAAGGGTCAGGGGATCATGTCACGTGAAGTATGGTTTGTTAAGATCAGAACCCCCCAAAAGGACACCAAGAATATACGCTCATCAGAATGTACAAGGAACCCTACATGCACTCACCAACAGCAATGGCAACTTGCCTGCTTTTGTCTTCTTGTCTCCGAAGGGCCACGGGAACTCTGGATTGTGGACCTTTCCTAGGCTTGTGCTCCTCCTTCCATCCTTGATATTCTCTTGAAAGATTAAAGACTGTGGACCTCCGCTGCCAGGTCGCGGGGCAAAATTTGGTCATGAAACACCCGAAGGGTCAAAAAGTGGCGCGCCCCAGTTGGGACCAGGAGCAGTCCTGCACCGTGTGGGGGCGACACTCGATTTCAGAAACTTGAGGGCAACGAATTCCACAAACGTGGCCTCTGTACAAGGGCTCTCCCCCCTTGTGCTAGGACGGATGAAGGGCTCAAGAGCATTGTCATATGACTGCCTGCCAGCAGTCATCCATAGAGCCTCATAGAGCCTCACATGAGGTTCTCCACAGGCATGTAGACCTCGAATGGGCATCGCGGTGGCCCCAACACAGCAGGCTTCTACCCAGAGAAGCCAATACCGCTTCGTAAAGGAGAGGCCTTCAGGCATCTTCTTTATCAGCTCACAGGTGCTCGCAAAATCAGAGAACAACCCAGGCTCCCCCCACCCCAGCACCTCACTTCCGACTTCTGCGAACTTCTTGCTCATCTCCTTCATGCCCTCCTGTGCGCTCGCTGAGAGCAGTTGATTGCACCCTGTGAAACAATCAAGACATATTCTCTTTATGGCCCCATATAAGTTCCAAACCATTTCCCAAAACGGTCTGGTGCTGGTGCCACAGGGATGACGGTTGAGGGCACAGGATACTGCGTAAGTATGGAGGACACGGGAAGGGGAATCGAAGGCCCACTGCTTAGGGGCCTTTGCTAGAAGGCTTGGCTTTAGGCTTTTCTCCACAACACAAAGCCAGAAGTCCAGAAGCAAAGGGACAAGACAAGCAGGGCTGCGGGGTTGAGGGTCCCACCTTATCACGTTCCCCCTGATACTAACATACTAAGTGTCCTTAGTAGAGATTTTACAATATGGGGTACTATAAACCCGATTAAGGACGGATAGTCTACACCCTAAAGCTACCACCCCCCGAACCCCTCAAAATCTCAACCCTTGACCACGGGGCTCGGTTCTACTCCAACTCTTCTTCCTTCAGAGGGATCTGGGATTAGATTAGGGTTTAGAGTTTAGGGTTTAGGGCTTAAGTTTAGGGTTTAGGGTTTAGGGTTTAGGGTTTAGGGTTTAGGGTTTAGGGTTTAGGGTTTAGGGTTTAGGGTTTAGGGCTGAGGGTTTAGGGTTTAGGGTTTAGGGTTTAGGGTTTAGGGTTTAGGGTTTAGGGTCAAAACGGTGTCAGCAGCCTGTGAGGCGCAGATGTGGTGGGCTGAGGCTCAGACACAGCGGATTGCGTTCAAAAACAAAAAGGTGTAACAACACAATAAGAATAGCAATGGTACGAATAAAAGTAATAGCAATAGGAAAATATCATAGGAATACTAGGAAGAATAGGAATAAGCGATCTTAATTCTGATAAGAATGATAGTGATATAGAAATAAAAGAAACAGTCATAACAGTAGCAAGACTACAGTAAGAATTACCTGATAAAACCATGTAGTATGTTGATACTACATAAACTTATACTTATATATATATATATACATATATGTATATATATGTATATATATATATATATATATATACATGTTTGCAAGCTCTAGGGGAAAGTCGCTGCGCCTTCAGAACCGTCTCTCCGTCTTCCTGGCCGTAGCCGCGTTCGGCCGCGTACTGGCGAACGTCGTCCGTGATCTTCATAGAGCAAAACCTGGCTGCGCAGATGGGTTTGCGAGGGGTTTCTCTAACTTAGGGTTTAGGGTTTTGGGTTTTGGGGTTTAGGGTTCAGGGTTCAGGGTTTAGGGTTGAGGGTTGAGGGTTTAGGGTTTAGGGTTTAGGGTTTAGGGTTTAGGGTTTAGGGTTTAGGGTTTAGGGTTTAGGGTTTAGGGTTTAGGGTTTAGGGTTTAGGGTTTAGGGTTAGGTTTAGGGTTTAGGGTTTAGGGTTTAGGGTTTAGGGTTTAGGGTTTAGGGTTTAGGGTTTAGGGTTTAGGGTTTAGGGTTTAGGGTTTAGGGTTTGATTTGCGGGTACGTTTCCACGACAGGGATCAGAGTCTGTTTTGGGAATTGCCTGTGGCGAGCTGGGGACCTGAGGGTTTAGATTCTGCTCAGGGGCTAGAGGGTGTAGACTGGTTCATAGTTGGGATAGTAATAAAATTTAAAATTTTATTCCTTATTGACTTTAAGTACCCTTTAAAAATGTAAAATGTTACCCCACTATGACAAAGTAGAGGGTTTAGGGCTTGCTTGGCTGAGGGTTCATGGTTTCGGGCTGCCAGTGTCAACATTAGCTCTTTCCACTGTCGCCGTTCCACTTGAAATGGAACATGTGGAGAGCTCCAAGCTTTTGTGGCCAACGTCTGCAAGATTGGGTTTCGGCTCTAGGTTTGGGGCTCCTCCCCTGGCCCAACAAACCCCGAGACCTCAACAGCTTTCTTGTCGCCGTTTCCCCTGAAAGCTAAAACTTCAGACTTCCTGCTACAACGACTGGCTACGGAGGCCAAACAATGAACCAAAGTAGACTCCCTTCCTCCCTTTTAAGGGCCATGGGCTTTCCTGGGGCCCCATATTTACGAAAGTAAGGGACCCTTAGTATAGTCCCCCAAATAGTAGGATTCCCTTATAATCAGGACCCCCAAATTCGGAAACCCTAAACCCTAAACCCTCACATCCCGCTTTCTTGGGCACCGGGCTTAGGTCCGCACATGGAGCAAAAGTGCGCTGACTTGCCTCAGAGGGCTTCATGCTCGCAAGCTCTCTGGATGATGGGCTTCCGGGGCTTCAAGCCTCTTGGCTTGGCTGCGTGTATGCTAACCCCCCCCCCCCCCGCATTTGCGACGGTCACGATAGTGTCGATGCAAGCCTTTCACGTTACCAAGCGCTTTATTGCGTGCGGAAACAGCTTGCTTTGGGGCAGGAAGGGAGGCAACGCTCCAAAAATAGAAAAAGAGGCCTGGCCGGGTTGCTTTTGGCTGCTAGTGTCGGGACGGGCCTATCACTTTGCCGAATGCCCCGTTGCTTGCAAGCAGCCTGCCCCGCAAGCAAAAGGAGGGTCATGGTTCAAAGAACAGGGCTTTGGCTTGAGAAGGGTGTGTTGGGGGAGGGGGGTGTTGAGAAACGGTGGAGGCACTGAGTTGAAAGCTGCCCCCCCACGTCTGCAAAATATGGGTGGATTGGTTTTTGTGGAAACCGAGACCCGATTTGTCCAAATTCGCCACGGAGGTTGCTGGAGCTGACTGAACGACCGAAGGCTTAAGAGCATCACGCCCATGCTGCCTAAACATCTTGCTTCAGCCCCAGCTCCCAGGCAAACCCCCCTTGAAATAGTGACAAAAAAAGAGTGATAACAGTCACCACAAACTAAGCTAGTCGACGGGCACCGCGGGGATCGGCTGGAATTGGGTACTCCAGGGATGCCCTGCAGGATTCTCGTTGTTTTTTTTTTTTTGGGGGGGGGGGGGGGGAGGCATTCCAGGATTCTCTGAACATTCGTAGACGAAAGGCAGGGGCGCCATAAGCCAGGTGAGTTAGAGGATGCGTAGCATCGAATCATCCTACACGCAGAACTCTGAGAAAGCGGAACAAACCCAGCAGCAAGAGAAGAACGTTTGCCGTGCGAGCTGCCCTGCTCGGAGTCGATAGTCTCGTCGTGCATGCTCCGCGCGGTGATGGGATCCTTGGGTTGAGGGCTGAAAGGAGGGGGGGGGGGGGGGTAAGGGGATTTAGGGTTTCGGGCATTAGGGTTTAGTGTTTAGGGTTTAGGGTTTAGGGCTTAGGGCTTAGGGCTTAGTGCTTAGGGTTGGGGATCTGAGAATACACCCTGCTATCTAATGCAAGCCTTCGGGGGCCTTGTTGCGTGGCTCTGGTTTCCATGGACGGGCAGCTGCGGCAGTGAGTTTCAGGGCCGGGTGTTCACTAGAAGCCCAGGAAGGCACGAAAGCTTCTTACAATCCCCCCCCCCCCTCGCCCCACATACGTCGGTTTCAGCTATAACTCAGTTCTAATCAGCCCACAGCCGAATACTGCCCCGAAGCCCCCCACCCTGCCCCTCTTCGGTCATCGGAACCTTCAAGGTGCTCAATAGGGGTGTTCACGAAATAGATCCCTAAATGGTAGGATCCCCTCACCACATTGGCCCCAATAAGGTACCCCTCATATCGTAAACCCTAAACCCTAAACCCTAAACCCTAGACCCCCAGAAGACGCTACCAAGAAAGAAGCATGCTGCCAGCAGTCCAAGGCCAGATTGAACTGGTCATTCCAGCGGAACCTGGGATGTCTTGAGGGGGGGGGGGGGAGGGGTGGAGGTTTAGGGTTTAGGGTTTAGGGTTTAGGGTTTTAGGGTAGGGTTTAGGGTTTTAGGGTTTAGGGTTTTAGGGTTTTAGGGTTTTAGGGTTTTAGGGTTTTAGGGGCGTTTTAGGGTTTTAGGGTTTTAGGGTTTTAGGGTTTTAGGGTTTTAGGGTTTTAGGGTTTTAGGGTTTTAGGGTTTTAGGGTTTTAGGGTTTTAGGGTTTTAGGGTTTTAGGGTTTTAGGGTTTTAGGGTTTTAGGGTTTTAGGGTGTTAGGGTTTTAGGGTTTTAGGGTTTTCGGGTTTTTGGGGATTTGGGGATTTGGGGGTTCGGGGTTTTAGGGTGTTAGGGTTTTAGGGCTTTAGGGTTTTAGGGTTTGAGGGCTTTAGGGTTTTAGGGTTTTAGGGTTTTAGGGTTTTAGGGTTTAGGGTTTAGGGTATCGTGTTTAGGAATGAGGGTTTGGGATTTATACTATTTGCTTAAGAACCCCCCCCCCCCAATGAATAGAATGCTTTTCCTTATCAGGGAAATGTGGGGATTACCCTTTGTTTTTTTGGGGCTTCTTAAGGTGCGGGGGAAAGGAGGCTTCGTCTGAAAGCCCAACCAAGACAATGCAGTATGGCAAAATGCAGGTGTAGGGCATCAACCCCTCAGAAGCGCCCGCACTCAGCAACTAGCAATTGCAGATGTGAGCAGGCCTTGGGAATGGGGGGGGGCCCCCCTCCATCCCCTAAAAGCCCAGTTTCCCCAACCTTCAACTGCCTGACCCCTAAGCCCTAAACCCCAAGACCCTAATATAGGGGTCGGAATAATTCGCCTCGGCTTCCTGCCGAGAAGCGTCTAGAACAAGCAGACCCCCCCGCACCCCCCCCAAACCCCCCCCCACCCCCCCCCCCTTTAACCCCGCTGCCCTTCCTCCCTTTTTTTGCGAAACCCTCTTTCCTCCTTTCCTGTCCTGGGGCCGGCCCGGCTGCCGAGGCGGCGCGCGCAAGCGTTTACAATTACTAAGCGTATTCCCTTATGGTCCCTTTATACATAGACTGCAACAACCCCCCAGAACTCTATTCTAATTTTGATTAAGGCCCCCATACGAACCCGACCCACACGCCGAAGAGCTCGAAGCGCGCTTTCGAGAGGGTATCGTCCCACTCCTGGGCGCGCGGGTGGCCTTTGGCCTCGGCAGGCTGGGGGTTAGGTTGGTTTAGGGGTTTAGGAGGTTTAAGGGGGTTTAGGGGTTCAGGGGGTTTAGGGGGTTTAGGGGGTTCAGGGGTTTAGGGCAGGGTTTAGGGGAGGCGGGAGGTTAGGTTTAGGGTTTAAGGTTTGGAGTTTGGGGCTTCGGGCTTGGGATTTGGGGGGCTTGCTGCTCTTCAAGGACGAACAGAGTAACCCCTAATGAGGCACCCACAGGGTTAGCTGAATATACGTATAAATACATAAAAACACATGTATCCATAGATATATATATATATATATATTGTTTTTCTGGTTTTGTTTTTCTACATTATATATATATATATATAGAAATATAGATATCTGTTTGTATATATGAGGATTAGAAAAGGCGCACTCGTATGTAAATAGGTTCAGCCACCCCCTAAACTCCCTAAACCTTTCCGAGGCGAGGACCAGGTCAGCAGCATGGGCTGCGATGCGATACGCGATGATACCGGCCTTCTAGAAAGCCATTGCGTTTGGAGCTTGGGGCTTAGGGCTGAGTAGAAGAACCCATCCAGCCCCCTCCCCCCCACCCCATGCCCCCCCCCCCCCCCCATCCAGCCCTGCGCCCACCCCCCCCCCGCCCCATGCCCTGCCCCCCCTGCCCAGTGTTAGTGAATGCAGGCACAGCCTTGTAACTACACAAACCCTAGTTTCACATCAGGATGTCCTGCCCGCGATTCGCGTCAACCTGCTTTGGTGTCTTTACTTCCGAGTTGAATGCCGGGTCCCAAAGCATTTACCACGCCCAATGATTGCTTGGCCCTTCCACTGCCTAGACTTTGTCATCTGGCAAAACCCAAAAGGCACACACACACACACATATGTATATATATATATATATATACATATACATATATAATATCGATTCATGTATTTCTCTACTTTTTAGTTGCTCTTATCTATTTGTTATGTTTGTTCTTTGTTTTTATTTGTATTTATATTTGTTTTTGTTCTGTTTTATTTGTGTCTATATGCCTTAGGAAAATGCTCACTTTTGCAATTTATAGTCATAGTCATCGTTTCAACAACAAAGCAACTGGGCCTTGGAGGTTTGGGGGTGGCTGGGCTCCAGGGGCCTGGAGGTTGCCTTTAGGGTTTAGGGTTTAGGGGTTAGGGCTTAGGGTTTAAGGTTTAGGGATTAGGGTTTAGGGTTTAGGGTATAAGGTATAGGGTTTATAGCGTTTAGGGTTTAGGGTTTGGGGGTTAAGCTGGGGTCAAGCGCTTCTAGCGCTATGCGCTGCAGGCAATGACTCATCTTCGCGCACGTGGGCTTCTGAGTCAGGCGCAGCAAGTTGAGCGTCTCCTTCCTATGGCAGCTTGCAATTTGGGCACTGGTCAAAAAGTGGAGAAAACGGAGGTCCAGTCCGTCGAGGTTGTGGTGAAGCATGGCACCCGGAGCAGCTGCAGAGCTTAATCTTCACGGGCTCTCGCAGACCTTGGCCCTCGGGCGCAGCTGCCCGCAGGAGTCCCCTTCAAGCAGGGTGTAAGGTTTAGGGTGCGAGGCTCCGGATGATGGATCGCCACTCCTGTCAGAGCACTAGGGTCAGACCTGTACACCTCAGCTAGCTCCCCCTCCGCGGCCAGTCCGACGCCCACCGCGCCCTGGGGAAGGCGACTTGCATGTGTTGCTCTAGGAAGAAACGTCAAGCTGAAGTGGGGGATCGTGCCCGGTCGGTGGTAAGATAGCACCGCAAAGGGGCAGGAAGTAATAGCAGTGCATCATCAACAACCCTAAACCCTAAACCCTAAACCCTAAACCCTAAACCCTAAACCCTAAACCCTAAACCCTAAACCCACACGAGTCCCGCCCCCTTGGCCTTCACATCCTCGCGGTCCGGCAGGCCCAGGTGCTCCTTGGGGGTGACGTAGCAGAGCATGGCCGTCCTTGGAACCGCTCGGCTAGGCTTGTGGGAAGCTCGGCTAAAGATTGTGGTCTGTTTCCCGAGCTTCCCAGAGAAGGGGGTTTGGGGCTTAGGGTTTAGGGTTTAGGATTTCGGGTTTAGGGTTTAGGGTTTAGGGTTTAGGGTTTAGGGTTTAGGGTTTAGGGTTTAGGGTTTAGGGTTTAGGGTTTAGGGTCAGGGATACTCTGTGGGATTGTCTGGGACTGACGAGGCTCTTTGGGCTGGGCACTGAAGGGATCCTATGTGGGATTCTGTACCGGCTTCTCTGTGGGGGTGGGCGCTCTCTGCAGGATTCTGTGTGTAGGCACCCTAGCACTGGAGGTACTCCGTCGAACTTCTGAGGATTTTCTGCAGAAAAGCTAGGAAAGGCAAGGACCTAAGGAGACCCGGGCCAGGAGCACAGCAGACCCAAAAAAAGAGCTGCCGTAACATCTAACAGCCACGACCCACACCCCCAAAGAGCCCCGCTGCAAGCTCTCCCGCAGCAAGCTCTCCAAACCCTCAACCCTGAACCCTGAACCCTAAACCCGAAAACCTAAACCCCCTGAAGCCTCCAAACTAAGCCCGGCCCAGATGCCCCATGGCACCGATGTTCGCCGCACCGATGGCGGAGGTGATGTGGTCGTAGCCCGGAGCGATATCCGTGGTGAGGGGGCCCAGTGTGTAGAAGGGCGCCTCAATCCCCCAAAGTTCCACACCCTAGAGGGTTGAGGGTTTCGGGTTTCGGGTTTAGGGTTCAGGGTTTAGGGTTTAGGGTTTAGCGTTTAGGGTTTAGGGTTGAGGTTTCGGGCCCAAAATCCTCGATGTTCGTGGCCAGGGAGTTGAAGGGCTTGGGACAGAAGTGGCGCAAGACTCGGCTCAGAGGTCTGGCAGACAGCTCAACAACTCGGGGGGGGTCCTGGCCTCTTGGTTTGTTGCCGTTTTTTGAAACTATTATACTCTTTTTGGGTGTTTTGTTTGTATGGGGAAGGGGGGGGGGGAACCTGTTTCTTTTGTTGTTCTTTTTCAGGGGTTCGGGCTGGATTATGACTGACGTTCTAGCTCACAGGGGTAGGCCCGAAACTGAAAACGCTTTCAAGCGTGGGCCCATTCCTCCTCTAGATGCCCTTCCTCCCCAGCTTCCTCAACCCTCACCACCCAAAGAGCGCAGCAACTCTCTGAGACACCCCTTGTTGCGCTCGCGGAAGGCTGAGTGGTGCGGGCTGTGGCCTGAGTGCTACGAAGGGCAAAGGCACCTCATGGCACCATTCGAGCTGCTTCCGCATGTTCTCCGGGATCCTAAGTTGAAACGTTCAGGCTCGGATAATGGGACTTCACACTTCAGAGTCCTTGGGGTGTTGGTGTTTTGTAGGCCCCTTGACCGCCAGAAACAGAAAGGATCTCAAAGCGTCCAGCCCTCGGCTGTGAACTTTAGAGTTTTGTGGCTTCGGAGCACGCCCATGCCCAAGGCCAAACACTCGAAACGAGCCCCAAACCCAACCCTTGGCCCCGCAGCCCGTTGCAAGGTGACTTTATTTGCACAGAGGGTTTGGCTGTAAGAACAGTAAGCCCGGACGTAGAAAACCACTTAATGGCTCCCTACAATAACCCCGCTGGTCATTGCCACCATGGTGCTTGTGCAAGGGCACATGCCCGGGTCCTTCGTTCATCACCTCTCAGCTTCATGCTAGACCTACCTCATCGAAGCATGGAGTTGAAGAGAGCAAACTTACTTGAGGGTTTTGTTTCAAAGCACCCCCCAACAAGCCCCCTGGCTTCTTCGCAAAGTCGCCGTTTTGCAAGCGCCCCCAACAAGCCCCCCAAGCAACTTCCCCCCAATCTTGACTGACATGTTTGGTTTCTTCGCAAAGTCGCCGTTTTGCTCCAAAGCGCCTCCAACAAGCCCCCAGGCAACTTTGCAAAGCCCACCCTGAACCCTATAAAACCCTGAACCCTAAACCCGAAACCCTCAACCCTAAACCCTAAACCTTAAACCCTAACCCCTAAACCCTAAACTCTCGACCCGTCTGCGTCCGCTGGCCTGGACCCCCTTTGCCCACGCACGCTGGGTCAGCTCACCTTGAACCTGGCAACCAGAGCATGGTTGAACCCTGAACCCTCAACCCCAAAGAAGGGCTTTAGGGTTTAGTTTCTTGGGTTTAGGGTTAAAGGTTTAGGGTTTAAGGTTTACGGTTTAGGGTTTAGGGTTTAGGGTTTAGGGGGCCCTAAACCCTCAACCCCAAAGAAAGCAGGCATGTAGGGCTCTTATGAGGGGCCAGGGTATGGAGTGTACAGGCGGGCTTGGAGTGATCCAAGCTTTCGGGTGTAGATGTAGAGGGACTTGCACAGACCCACCAATCTAAGACCACCAGCAAATCTCTCCGAAGAAACATCCTACAGAGAAATTTCTCCTGAACTGATGCGGAATCATGACATCCTGACCCTTGGAGCTAAGAGGGCCAAGCCTAGATGCCCAGTAGGCTCAGAGTTTGGGGCTTCAGAGCGGTTTAGGGTAAGAGGGTGTTGGGATAAGGGGGAAAAGGGAACCCTGAACCCTAAACCCTACACCCTCGTTGCGGTCGCCTTGAGCTCGCTGAACTGGGCCTCGTCGTTGGCGTCCTGGGGCGCTTCTTGATGTAGAAGAAGAGCCCCAGTAAGAGTTTAGGGTTTAGGGTTTAGGGTTTAGGGTTTAGGGTTTAGGGTTTAGGGTTTAAGGTTTAGGGTTTAGGGTTTAGGGTTTAGGGTTTAAGGTTTAGGGTTTAGGGTTTAGGGTTTAGGGTTTAGGGTTTAGGGTTTAGGGTTTACGGTTATAAGGGCCCGCGGTATTTTATAAGAAGTGAATGAAAAGAACCCCTTTATTATAATATTTCGTGCATACGCGCGAATTATATTACAAGTATGCGCAAATAGTATAATGAAGGGCCCCGTAAACTCACTAATAATAATATTGTCCCGTGCACACACTTTATTTATGATTGTCGCACGGGGAACAACCATGTTATTATTAACCCGCGATATCAGATTACTGGTGCTCGCGGGACACGATGATAATGCTGAATGAACGTATGAAATGAACCTGCAAAAAGGCTAGAAAATTAAAAACTTTATGAGGCCCTTTTTGCACACCTTTCTAAACTTTAGAAGATTGGAAATTCATAAATTTTATGATCTACAACTTTGTTATTGGCATGTTCTTGAGATTTTAAGTAGTAGTAGAGACGGTAGTACACATAATGCCGATATTCAGATGGTCTACAAAGACCAAGCCCAAAGCTTCGAAAGTGACGACATTAGTGGTGTATGGCGCCGACATTAGCACCGTGGCTGTCGGCACTTTGCTGGCACTCTTCGCTGCAAAACACCTTCAACAAACGCTTCCAGAAGTGGGGGTTTACGACAATGGGGACCTTGATATCGACCCCCAAGTAGTAGGATCTCCTTATAATCAGGACCTCTTTAAGGTACCCCGAATTTCGTGAATCCCCAAGTGACGACAACCACGAGTTGGTCACGAATGGACCGCTCCCAGATGCTTTGCCAGCGCTCGCTGGCGGACACGTACGGAGTCGGGTCACTGCCGCACTGCCAGACCCCTCTGGAACCGAGAACCCTCGGCTACGCATTCGGATGTAACAAAAAGAACTTTAAACCCCAAACCAAACCCTTCAAGCCTAAGCCCGAAAACTCACGGTCCTTGATGCAACCGGGACGTAGGCCGTCGCCAATACTCAGAGACCTCAGTGGCGTTTTCGGGATTCAGGTGTCAGGGTTTAGGGTTGAGGTCTTAGGGTGTTGCAAGAGAGGGGGGCCTTAGGGCCCATAAGAACCTGAAACTTAATGTTCCTAATCAACCCCGGAATTGTACTGCAGCCGAGGTTTCGGACCGGGTTTAGGGTTTCGGGTTTACGGTTTGGGGTTAAAGTGTCCACGATTCGAGCTTAAGCATTTTGAGCTTCGGCCTCAGATCCTTTTGCAGCGAAGTTGTCGGCATCTACACAGGGGCGAAGTAGCTTGCACCGATTCTGTTACATTGAGTCGCTTTATATAGAACCTAGAAGCCGGGACAACACAAACTATACAAAAACACCATTCCAGCTAGACAGGCCTCCACATTAACGATCACAGCAGGCTGAAGATAGGAGCTTAAGGGCCGAGCATCCCGCTTACGACGCCCAGTGGCCACGCAACCAAGAAGCAAACGCTACCAAGAGATCTCACTGTGCTATCCTTCCTCCATGACATCGGAACTTCGGGAGAAGAGGCAGATGTACCGATTGACCCCAACTGGCCCAACCTCTTAGGCTCGGCGGTCAGTGAGAACTGGGAGTTTGCGAGTGGCAACCCTCTTTTGTCGGTCCTCCTGTCATCAGTCAATCCATGCAGCATGGATTCTCGTCTGGTGCGCAGACGCCCCAGACGCTTCAGATCACTTCGAAGGAATCGCAAGTCGTCTGCACACAGTTTCAAAAACGATTTTGGGTCTTTAGGGGCGATGGGGGTTTGAGCGATGACGCAGGCTTGACACCTCGGTGCAGACCGGCTGCAACGACTACTCACTAGTCGCTCTCTCTCTCCCTCCCACTCTGCCCTTCTCTCTCTCTCTCTCTCTCTCTCTCTCTCTCTCTCGGATGGCCCTTAAAACCGTCTCATAAATATACTCCTGAATATGATCCTCTCAAACCCAATAAGGGAAAATATATCATGTCCCCAGGGCCTACCGAGCTGTTTTTCGAGCCCGGCACTCTGTCCTGCATGGGGCGGCTAGACAGGCACCAACCAACCCAGGCCCCCTAAACCTTAAACCCTAAGCCCTAAGCCCTAAGCCCTAAACCCTAAACCCTAAACCCTAAACCCGACACATGTTCAAGTACAAACCTTGAGGAAGCCCCGGAAGGCAGAGCACCATGCAGATATGCGCAAAGTATATGCGCAAAAGTTCTCTCGGACAATGCACACAACATTTGCGTGTTTGCATGTGAGGTGAAGCATGGTGAGATGGAATCAGGCTCGGAGTACATCCAAGCGTCCGGTTGCCTGACTGAACACAAGCTTGGCGCTGGATTCACCCTAGTCAAGGATGAGGATTTGGGTCTAAACTTTTCGGTGAGAATTCGGAGTTTGCGAAGTGGCAACCCTCTCTTGTCGGCCTTACTGTCTAGGCCGATCAGTCAATCCAATGAGCATGGATTTTCGGCAAGCACGCAGCTTTCAGCCATGTGCCCCAGACTTCAGAAAATGCGGCTTTTGGGCTTTCGGTTCGTTGGGTGTGGTAATGAGCGTTTGGGCACCGACAGCTGCAACAACTTGCCACAGGCACCCGGTCCACGAGGCACCGCATGCTAATTTAAATTCCATGCTTGGAGCAATGCAAGAAAATCAGAGAGAGCACTTATCATCTGCATGTAAGATACTGTGCGTTGACATGGAGACTACATCCGAGGTTGAACGTCATTGGGGTTAAGCATGTTCACAAATACGTGTACGTTCCGTCTCTCCGATGCAAACTCCAAGCAGTCTTGTATTATAGCCAAGCCGATGTCACGTGCTGCAGGTCGCTCACATCTCCTGCCCGAAGGTAGGCCAGCTCTCTCCCGACATAGTCCAGGAAGCCGTGGTCGCACTTTGGGTTCATCTTCAGAAAGCGCAGCATGCGGGTCCAGCTCATGCGTGACAGGAGCCGCTGCATGTTCCGAGCTGCAGAAGGCGACAACCGTGTCAACTCCGCTTTCTGCTTGGAGATCTCCCGGTGGATCTGCTGCTGCACGCTGAAGGACTCGATCAGAAGGCCATCATCGCATGCGCGTTGAAAGACCTGGTAGAGAAACCAGTCCAGCAACTCCACCGCAGACATGCTTTGCATCATCGCTCGCTGCTTCTTGTCGGGCTTGACAACGTGCGCGGCGGGCCTCAGCGAACCAGGTGAGCCGCTGTTGGAACTGCTACCCACCCCAAACAGCCCACCCCTCGATGCAGGAGCCACAAAAAGTAGAGATCGGGCCGAGATGCAAGCCCTTCGTCCGAGCTGCCTCTGGCCCGTCCGAGGAGTCCATGGGCGTGTCCTGCTAACCGTTCTTCTGGGTTGAGGCTTTCAAGTTTCCAGGCTCGATGTTTCTCTGCTCGTGCTCGGAGCTCGCTTTTTGCCACACAAATGGAACCCGACTCTCCCATAAATCGCAACGAGGGCATTCGACACAAAAGCGCGTCCTCGGCTTCGAGCAATCGGCGGGCGTCGTCGCAACTTTCATGTGCTACTACACATTAGAGCCCAGAGGTCGCCAAATCAGAGATGCGCTTGCACAGTTTCGCTCTGGCTTCACTTCGGGTTGAGGGTTTGGGGTCTGTAGCCTGACTAAGCTTAAGGAAGCAGCAGTACAGTACGGAGAGAGGATCTCACGATGCCATCGGTGGCCTTCCGGACACCCAACCTGTTCGGTGCAGGCTGGGGGACGCGGGGCCGGGGGGGGGGGTGGGCACCTTTTTTGTTGTCGGTGCTGCTGCCGGTTTTTGCTGTCAGTTCGGCCACATGCCGGAGACCTCAAAAAAGGCCATCGCCTGTGCGCCGCTCGAAGCCTAAAAGCTCTTGGGATCTATGGGTACCGGGAAGGATATTGGGGCAATGACCCGGCCGGCTGCAAAAGCGAGTAGCGGCTGCGGCTACCGTGACCGTCATGGGCTCAACAGGCATGCTTGGCTCGTAAATTTCGTGCCTGGAGGAAAATGCGGGACAGTTGTCCGCTTCGTGCAGGGGATTGAAAGCCTGCGCGGACACGATATATATTCAGAAGTTCAGCATTTTGATGCGCCATATGTGACTTGGTGAGACGGAATCTGACATTCACATTTCGAAATTCCCTGTTGCCCTGAAAGCGCGAGGTTCTTGGGACTAGGAAAGCCGCAGTTGTGAAACGGAATCTGAGCTTCAGAGTACATGCAAGCATCCGGTTCGCCATTGCCCAGGATTGCCCCGAACACGCAACGCGTTTGTACTAATAGGCACTTGCCTAGGCTCCTAGAGCCAAGCCGATGTCACGTGCCGCAGGTCGCTCACATCTCCTGCCCGAAGGTTGGCCAGCTCTCTCCCGACATAGTCCAGGAAGCCGTGGTCGCACTTTGGGTTCATCTTCAGAAAGCGCAGCATGCGGGTCCAGCTCATGCGTGACAGGAGCCGCTGCATGTTCCGAGCTGCAGAAGGCGACAACCGTGTCAACTCCGCTTTCTGCTTGGAGATCTCCCGGTGGATCTGCTGCTGCACGCTGAAGGACTCGATCAGAAGGCCATCATCGCATGTGCGTTGAAAGACCTGGTGGAGAAACAAGTCCAGCAACTCCACCGCAGACATGCTTTGCATCATCGCTCGCTGCTTCTTGTCGGGCTTGACAACGTGCGCGGCGGGCCTCAGCGAACCAGGTGAGCCGCTGTTGGAACTGCTACCCACCCCAAACAGCCCACCCCTCGATGCAGGAGCCACACAAAGTAGAGGTCAGGCCGAGATGCAAGCCCTTCCTCCGAGCTGCCTCTGGCCCGTCCGAGGAGTCCATGGGCGTGGTCCTGCTAACCAAGGTGCGCTTCTTTCGTGAACCCTGGTGCGGCATGTTCTCTACCTTGGTCGTGCTTTTGCCGTGTCCCGTAATAATCCTGGCACTTCTCGCATGCCAGAACCCCAAGCCTCAAGCCGCAACCTGGGCATTCAACACAGCGGGTCCTCGGCTTCGAGTTGCGAGAAGTCTTGGCAACCAGTCTCGCTACTTCGCATCCTGAGATCTTGGACCTTTTTGCGGCTCACCTTACGGCAACCGGAGGCCCTCAGGCCGAAGGCACAGCGAACTGGAGGCAAGATATGGGGGTTTTAGAAATTGGGGGGTAGGTCCATGTAACGGGGATTCGATTCTCTTTGGGTATAAACGGGGTACCCCTATTTTGGGAAATACCCATACGGGGCAGTCACATGCTGAACTAGGGGCGTGACCAATGTAGTAACCATGGATAGCCAACATGCAGGAGACCATTAACATCACATTTTTGGATGTTCCCCCTTATACTGACCGTCCTTACTAGAGGTTTTAATAGGGGGCGCGAATAATCCCTTTTAAGGACTGCTGGAATAAGGAGAGAACATCCCAAATCACGCTATGATTTTTTGCTATCATGCTGTCGGAGCTCACACAGATACCATCAGTCCCTGCTTTGATTGAAACCAGGGCTTGGGTCGAACTACCGCTCGATCGGACCCCTGAACAGCTCCCCCACCGAGCGCGGAGCACGTCGTACTTCTTGCAGATGTCCAGAATGTCGTCCCAATGCTCGTACGCAAAGTTCTCCTCGGCCACTTCTTGGGTCTTTTGATGACAAGAGTTGCCCTGTGACCGCTGCTTTTGGCTTCCATGGCGACTTGATCTGATGCTCCCCGTTTCGAGGCAACAGCCTTTGATAGGGATTCGATTAACAAGGGATGATCATCTCCATTATCTGCGGTGACTTGTACAAAAAGGGGGGAACAACCTGCAAGTGTAAGGTTTAGGATTTCAAGTGCTTCTGCATGAAATTCCTACCCGAGGAGGGTGGAATTCAGGAGTTCGGCGTTCGGGATCCGAAACCAGTCCCACACGTTCCTCAGCAAAAAACTGTTGCATCGGAAGCCTTACAGCCTGTGGCCATTGCTGTTCAGAGCTTTGCTGGGGGATGGAATTCAGACGTAGGACTTGTCCGTTTGTCCAAGTTTCGGGTTCCGAGATTAAGGGGTACAGCTTTGGGCTTATGCGCTGGGATGCTTTAACACTGCCATGCTCTCCATGTGAGAGGCGACAGCAAAACTTGAACCCCAAGCACTCCCTATGTGAAGCCCTCAGCACCGCCACCTTCTACCTTGTCGGTGCCCCTTGTACTAACAGTCCTTAAAAGGGAGCACTATAATCCCAAACTTTCCGCTGGGGTTGTCTGGTGCGAGCTACGACATCTCCTGTCCGACCTGGCAGCAGTTGTACCCTGCTGCCCTATGGCCCTATGGATTTAGGGCGTGGGGCTTAAGGTTTAGGGTTTAGGGTTTAGGGTCTAGGGTCTAGGGTCTAGGGTCTAGGGTTTAGGGTTTAGGGTTTAGGGTTTAGGGTTTAGGGTTTAGGGTTTAGGGTTTAGGGTTTAGGGTTTAGGGTTTAGGGTTTAGGGTTTAGGGTTTAGGGTTTAGGGTTTAGGGTTTAGGGTTTAGGGTTTAGGGTTTAGAGCCTCTCAGGGTTAGGGGTTTTGAAGTTTAGGCGCTCAGGGTACCCCAAAAGCTTTAAACCCCCGAAAGTGCGGCCAGCAGCAAGGCCTCGTGCTTGGAAATGCAGAGCTTTGCATGGATGGAGCCCCCACGACTGACCTAAAGCTCATGGGTTGGTTGTGCAATTGCATGGCCGTCGGCAGTGGCTTTAAGGCGTTAAGGTTTAGGGTTTGGGGTTTAGGGTTTCGGGATTAGGGTTAAAACGGTTTTGGGTTTGCCAAGTTCCCACGCTTCTTGGACGAAGTTTCCGAAAGGTTCTCGTGCTGTCCGGTGCTCGTCTCCATAAGCTAAACCCACCACCCCCAACAGAAAAACCCTCCTCTGAAGAACAAATATGCCCCCAACTTCTGAGGAGCACCATTTAATTCACAAATGGCATGCACTCATCTACTACAATGGGAGAAACTACTTAACTTAAATGTTGGGGTGGCGCCACGCCACCGAAGAAAACAAAACCTGTTTCGGATATGCTTTGGGTTAACTAGTCAAGGAGCTTGTCAAGCATTGGAAAAAACACCCAGCCGCCCAAGAGTGTTTTGGGCCCAGGGAGTATATCCTTCAAGGATGAAAGACGGCCGTTCCCGGATACGGTACCTGAGATGCGGCGAGGGAAGGAACCATAAACCCTGAAACCCTAAACCCCGAAACCCAAAACCCCAAAACCCTAAGACCCTACAAATTCAAACCCTAAACCCTAAAACATCAAGCCTCACCGCACCACCCTACACCCCGAAGCATCCCCATGTTGACGACTCGGAGAACCACCCCCAACCCGTAGCGGTAGCCCTGACTTCCTAAACCTCCTGGGTTTGGGGTTTTTGGGATTGGGGCCTGTGATAGCATCTCATCCAACATCCGACGTCCAAGGACGGTACGATCCCCGTGAGGCGCTTGGCAGTCAGGGGCACCTTGACTCTTGCTGGTACTTCATAACAGAACGATTGCAACCCAGGTTCCTAAACCCTAAACCCTAAACCCTAAACCCTAAACCCTAAACCCGAAACCCGAAACCCGAAACCCTAAACCCTAAACCCTAAACCCTACCAATCCGGCTTAGGGTTCAGGGTCTCGGGGGGTGGCTGGGGTCTTGGGCCTTTTGGGGAATTTAAACTTGGGTTTCGGGCTCAAGACAGCGCAGCTGGGGCACGAAGCGCAGGAGAACCCCGGCATGGATTGTCCTGCGAAGAAGCGCGTCGTCAGAATGGAAAGTTGGTCCATTCTGGGGCCTGTAGCTGTTTTACACTTCCTTCAGGAAGCTCGCGCCTGCATTCGTTTCTTTATTGGGGCAATCACTCATGAAATCTGGGTTCTTTGGACGAGGCAAGAAAGTAATATAGGGGCCTTAAGAACTAGAACAAGGGTTTTGGGGGGGGTTATTCTAGTAGAAGTATAAAGGGACCATAAGGGAATACTATTGGCACCTATTCCGACCCCTATAGTAAGTCGTTTCTTTGGGCTGTTCTAAAAGTTCCCGGAGTGGCCGGGCTCTGCTTGAGGATGTCGTGGGTGGACATTCCAACTCAGTCCCTTGAAAGAAACAACTTGGGCCAACATCCACGCTTGAGGGGATGTTGGGCCAACGTCCACGCTCGAGGGGTGGATTTTGCGAACATCAATATCCACGCTTGAGGGGTGGAAGTTGGGCCAACATCCATGCTTGAGAGGTGGATGTTGGGCCAACATTTACGTTTGAGGAGTGGATGTTGGGCCAACATCCATACTTGAGGGGTGTCTTGGGATATCCACGCACGTTCAGGGGTGGATGTTGGGCCAACTTGCACTCCTCAGGGGCGGATATTGTGCCAACATGTTGGGCCAACATCCACGCCTGACGGGCGGACGCTCCACGCTTGAGGGGTGGATGTTGCGTGAGGAATGGATGTTGGGCCAACGTCCACGACTGAGGGGTGCACGTGGGGCCAACGTCCATGCTTGAGGGGTGGATGTTGGGCCAACGTCCGCGCTTGCCGGGGAGGTGGGGCCCAGATGAAGAGAGACAAAGGGAGACAAGCGGAGACAATTAGCCCGGGGGCCCCACAAAGGGAGACAAGGGACCCGGCCGAGGCCACCCACATGAAGGGAGACAAGGGGAGACACGCGGAGACAAGCAAAAAACCCTGAAAATGCAACAATCGAAATGCTACAAATGCGCCCCCCAGGGCGCGCGTGTCTGAAACGAAAGCGTCTGGGCTGCGGGCCAATAGTCGACACCCTGCTCGGCCTCGCCAAGGAAGGAGGGAACCGCGGTTTTGGCGCTTGGGGTTTGAAGCCCTAAGCCCTGAAAGTCTGAATCTCGCGAGGCTTAGGACTGGGCTTCAGACTTGTGGCATTCGGGGTTTCGAGTTTCTCAAGGTTTCGGAAATTTAGAGCTCAGGGTAGGTTGAGGAGTTTAGGGCTCAACGGTGTGGGGTCACAGGTTAGCAAAGAGTGCCCAAGGGATGCGGAGTGAGCACATGCCGTCACCCACGCGCCACGAGCCGTTGTTGCTACCGTTCGTCGTACCACCTACGGCACAAGCCCCGAAGCCTAAAACCCTAAACTCAGAAGCGGAGCGTGAGTCGAAGCCACCACTTCTAGGAATCAGCGTGTTCAGCTTCGAGGGCAGGGAAGGAACCCAACTCCGATCGTGTGCCGATTCCGAAGGGCAGGAGAATTAAATTAGGACTTTTTTGTTGTTTTTTGGGGTTTTTTTGTTTTTGGGTTTAGGGTTTAGGGCTTAGGGTTTAGGGTTTAGGGTTTAGGAGGGTTTAGGGTTGAGGGTTGAGGGTTGAGGGTTTAGGGTTTAGGGTTGAGGGTTGAGGGTTGAGGGTTTAGGGTTTAGGGTTAGGGTTTGGGGTTTAGGGTTTAGGGTTTAGGGTTTAGGGTTGAGGGTTGAGGGTTGAGGGTTGAGGGTTGAGGGTTGAGGGTTGAGGGTTGAGGGTTGAGGTTTGAGGGTTGAGGGTTGAGGGTTGAGGGTTGAGGGTTGAGGGTTGAGGGTTGAGGGTTGAGGGTTGAGGGTTGAGGGTTGAGGGTTGAGGGTTTAGGGTTTAGGGTTGAGGGTTTAGGGTTTAGGGTTTAGGGTAGTAGTAGTAGTAGTAGTAGTAGTAGTAGTAGTAGGAGAAGTAGTAGTAGAAGTAGAAGTAGAAGTAGAAGTAGAAGTAGAAGTAGAAGTAGTAGTAGTAGTAGTAGTAGTAGTAGTAGTAGTAGTAGTAGTAGTAGTAGTAGTAGTAGTAGTAGTAGTAGTACCAGTAGCCAGGACAAAAAACAAAAAAAATCCAAAAAAAAACAAAAAAAAATAACTAAACAAAATAGACCTCCATTCCGAAGCCCTGAGCCCCACGCCGGGACCCCAAAGACAAGTTGGTTGGTTTATGGGGACCTTCAGTCCTGATGCCTTGAAAGCCCGAAGCTCTTCGGCCTCGAAACCCTAAAATTTCGGTGGCTCCTTCCTAAACTTGGGGGGGGCGGGTTGCTTTGCGAAGAAGAAGGCCTGCTCGATCAAAGTCTCACGGAACTTCTCCCAGGTCAGATCTTCGGCAATGCCGTCGACCTGACGGAAGCTCCTGGAGCCCTTCCACAGCAAGCTAGCGTAGCTGGATTCTGCGTGTTAACGAAGAGCATCTCCCCAAAAGCACCCCTAAACGCGCAAACAGTTACAGGCTTAGGCGACGTTTCTGAGAGGCTTCCTTGCAGAAGAGGTCCCAGAAAAAGGACCACACATGGGCAATGCAATGAGGTGGTATGGTTTTAGAGTTTAGGGCTCAACCTCAGACATCACTCTTCTTCATCAATCAATGGCACACGCTCTTCTCCTTCTTGGACTTTACTTGCTTTTCCATCCTTCTGCAGTAGCTTCTCGGAGTGTATAAGGCTGCGAGATTTGTGGCCAGGTTGCCTTCTCAAGCGCCTGGTAGATGGGCACTGTTCCCACCGGCAAAGCCTCGGCTCGGTACACACCAAGTTTTTGGGATTGGGAGAGTTGGGGCTTGTTTATATGCTCAGCTCTCAAAGCTACAGCTGTTTCCGGGCTGTTCAAAGATGGCCACGATGTTGACGGTACCAGCTGAGCAGTCGTGCATTCAGGCCATTGAGTTGTTGCGTTCCCTCATTGTCCTCGTCTCTTTTGCTTCTCTCCCTCTCTCCCTACCTCTACATTGACATATCCCTCTCTCTCTCTCCCTCTCCGGCCTCTTGCTTGTTTCTTGATGGGTTTGAAGAGAACCCATTCCCTTCCAAACAAGAACCGGCATCCGACCGCGGCAAGTCTAGTGGAGTAGGGCCCCAAAACTTCAATTATTGGCACGCTTGGGCCCTGACACTGTTCCGAATGATCCACTCCCTCGTCTCATGGATGTGCTTGCCAGTGCTGAGGTCCATAAGAGTGTCGGCACCTCGGGTGATGAACTGCAGGATAAGAAACCTCGTTGCCCTGGCTTGCGGTGTGCTGAAACGGCACGGCTCGAGGTGGGGCTTAGGCGACGAAGATGCCTATGGACGCAATGGGTGCTTGTGGACGCTGAAAAAAGGTTGATGCTTGGCCGCAGAATGTCTGAGATCTTTTCAGGGCAGGAGACCCCACAGTGAGCTCCACTGCAGCTTCTCGACTTCTTCTTCGATGTTGGAAGCCTGTCGTCTGGGAACTGCTTGGGGGCTTGGAGGGCTTATGCTTCTGGCTTGAGGGTTTTGGTTTTCGGCTTCCGGGCTATGTCAATGTGAGCTAAAGGGCGTAGGGGGTTGAGGGTGAGCTTGGGAGGGTCGGGCACGGCCTCAAGGGTCTTAAGGGTTTAGGGCTTCGGGTTTAGGGGACATGCCTCACGAAAATGACCTCGAGCCTCAGCTGTCCCAAAAAATGAACCGCATGTTTTGCACTTCTTCCGATATGCTCGGCATCCTTGATTTGTTGGATTGACCTTTGCATTGCTGACTTGAATGAGGGCGATAAACCCAGAACCGTTAGAGCGGGGACTCCAGGCCCCACAACACGTAATCCTAGACCCTTAGGCAGAGTCGAGGTTCGCGGGTTTAAGGCTCATGGAGTTTTCTTTTTAATGGTTCAGGGGTTTAGGGTTTAGGGTTTAGGGTTTAGGGTTTAGGGTTTAGGGTTTAGGGTTTAGGGTTTAGGGCTTAGGGTTTCGGGTTTAGGGTTTAGGGTTTAGGGTTTAGGGTTTAGGGTTTAGGGTAACCCTGTTCCTAAGCTTTGGGGTTCGAAGCTTTGGGCCCTGGGACCTGCTAGCCCCTGAAAACCCCCCAAGCTGAACCTACCCGGAACCCTAAACCCTAAACCCTAAACCCTAAACCCTAAACCCTAAAACCCTAGAACCCTAAACCCTTTTGGGGTACCCTAGATATGAGGTGCCGTATAATAGGGATCCAAGCCTAAACCCTAAATCCTACACCCCAAAACCCCAAAACCCAAAAAGCCTACACTGAACCCTTTGTGTTTCAGCAATGGTTTCGCTTGGAATGCTCGAGTCGGGCCAAGGGCCCCCCACGACAGCAGAGTTGCCGATGTTGGAGTTGATCTTCACCTGCTCAGTTTAGGGTTTAGGGTTTAGGGTTTAGAGCTCAAGGGTCAAGGGTTTAGGGTTTAGGGTTTAGGGTTCAGGGTTTAGGGTTTAGGGTTTAGGGTTCAGGGTTTAGGGTTCAGGGTTCAGGGTTCAGGGTGCGTGCTCAGTGACTTTTAGCCGATGATCCGCGTGTTTAGTTGCTCTTGGGAGTCTAGGGTCTAGGGTTTGGGGGTACGTAACAGTCAGGTTAGGGCTTGTTGGGCTTTAGGGTTTAGGGTTAACGGTTAGGGTCTACGAGGGCTGTAACCAGGCCAACATCATGAGCATCAGCCGCGCTGCCCTTTACCCTTCGGCGCTGACCAGGCCCGCATCATGAGCATCAGCCGCGCTGCCCTGTACCCTTCGGCACCGACCAGGCCCGCATCATGAGCATCAGCCGCGCTGCCCTTTACCCTTCGGCGCCGACCAGGCCCGCATCATGAGCATCAGCCGCGCTGCCCTGTACCCTTCGGCGCCGACCAGGCCCGCATCATGAGCATCAGCCGCGCTGCCCTTTACCCTTCGGCGCCGACCAGGCCTTTACCCTTCGGCGCCGAACAGGCCCGCATCATGAGCATCAGCCGCGCTGCCCTTTACCCTTCGGCGCCGACCAGGCCCGCATCATGAGCATCAGCCGCGCTGCCCTTTACCCTTCGGCGCCGAGCCAGCGCGCATCATGAGCATCAGCCGCGCTGCCCTTCACCCTTCGGCGCCGACCAGGCCCGCATCATGAGCATCAGCCGCGCTGCCCTTTACCCTTCGGCGCCGACCAGGCCCGCATCATGAGCATCAGCCGCGCTGCCCTTTGCGCTTCGGCGCCGACCAGGCCCGCATCATGAGCAGCAGCCGCGCTGCCCTTTACCCTTCGGCGCCGACCAGGCCTGCATCATGAGCATCAGCCGCCTGTACGCCGACCAGGCCCGCATCATGAGCATCAGCCGCACGGCCCTTTACCCTTCGGCACCGACCAGGCCTGCATCATGAGCATCAGCAGCGCTGCCCTTTACCCTTCGGCGCCGGCCAGGCCGCATCATTAGCATCAGCCGCGCTGCCCTTTACCCTTCGGCGCCGACCAGGCCCGCATCATGAGTATCAGCCGCGCTGCCCTTTACCCTTCGGCGCCGACCAGGCCCGCATCATGAGCATCAGCCGTGCTGCCCTTACCCTTCGGCGCCGACCCGGCCCGCATCATGAGCATCAGCCGCGCTGCCCTTTACCCTTCGGCGCCGACCCGGCCCGCATCATGAGCATCAGCCGCGCTGCCCTTTACCCTTCGGCGCCGACCCGGCCCGCATCATGAGCATCAGCCGCGCTGCCCTTTACCCTTCGGCGCCGACCCGGCCCGCATCATGAGCATCAGCCGCGCTGCCCTTTACCCTTCGGCGCCGACCAGGCCCGCATCATGAGCATCAGCCGCGCTGCCCTTTACCCTTCGGCTTTACCCTTCGGCGCCGACCAGGCCCGCATCATGAGCATCAGCCGTGCTGCCCTTACCCTTCGGCGCCGACCCGGCCCGCATCATGAGCATCAGCCGCGCTGCCCTTTACCCTTCGGCGCCGACCCGGCCCGCATCATGAGCATCAGCCGCGCTGCCCTTTACCCTTCGGCGCCGACCCGGCCCGCATCATGAGCATCAGCCGCGCTGCCCTTTACCCTTCGGCGCCGACCCGGCCCGCATCATGAGCATCAGCCGCGCTGCCCTTTACCCTTCGGCGCCGACCAGGCCCGCATCATGAGCATCAGCCGCGCTGCCCTTTACCCTTCGGCGCCGACCAGGCCCGCATCATGAGCATCAGCCGCGCTGCCCTTTATCCTTCGGCGCCGACCAGGCCCGCATCATGAGCATCAGCCGCGCTGCCCTTTACCCTTCGGCGCCGTGCATCACGCCGGCTAGGGGCTGAAGGGCTCCAGACCTGAAACCCCAACCAAAAGCAGAAACCGTGCGATAGTGCCAGAGGCTGCCAAGCCCTCGGCCTTGAAGTGACGACCGATGATCATCGGTTCCGACCTGTTGCAGAAGCTGGCCTTTGCTAGATGAGGCATAGAAGTTCAACCAGACCGAAACCGAGCTGGCAGTGAGCCCGAACCGTGCAAACCGGAATGTCGAAACGAGAAAAGTTCAGGTCAATGTATAGCTCCCAGCTTTGCGTCAAATGCTTGAAACCCCATAAACCTAGAGACCTCAGCTGCAAAAAAGTTCCGTGTTCGCCGCCGCTCGGCCATTTTCGACTGAGCCTACGGCTCCGGATGGTTCCGATTCGCAGGAATGATGGCCTCGATTGTGTCAGGATTAAGGCTTGGGAGTGCAGGGGCGGTGAGAGGTTCAGGGAAGGTTCGAAGGAGTGCAGGGTTGGGACCGCCCATGGGAATGTCAAGTGATGACGAAATCATGAAAATCGTAGCCTCAATCTTCAGGAACGCACTCAGACTCACACATGCACACAACATACGTCTATGCATGCATGCATACAGCATCCCCTTTGTTTGTTGTTCCCCCGTAGACTCCTGTGCAGTTGAGCTCCTCACGCGGCCGCGCGCCACCTCCTCGCGGACGAACTCTGGATCCATGCCCTCACGCCTTGCACAGGGATTTTGAAAATGCTTCAGGTTGTAGTGTAGGGCAACTTGGCCGCAATTTGGGGGGGGGAGGGTAAAACTAGAAGTCCTTAACTTTTGGGATTTCCTTATTAATGCAAATCTACCTCCTGGTTTGAGGAGCAGGGGGGGGGGAAAGCAAATGGGACCCTAACCTTTGAAACCGCCAACTCAAGACTGAAGGAATGTCTGCATGAAGGCCAAACGTTGGGAAGAAGGGCTTGAGAGGCGTTTCGACTTTTCGAGGTCCTGTAGAGGGTTTAGGGCTTCGGGATCAAGGCAGGGGACTCAAAGTTGGGTTGAAGACTCGAGGGCTGCGTGCACCGTGGCGACCAAACCCCGAACGACTCAACCATCGAAACTCTGGCAGCCAAAAGCCTTGAAGCCCTGAACCCCCCAAATCCTAAACCGGAAGCACCGAAACCCTCAACCCTAGCCCATAAACCGTACAGCGGGTGTTTTCCATTCAGCTTGCCAGCGGTCTGACGGCCCTCTCCCGATGGTTGACAACGACAAGAAGTACGGAAGGCGTCGGGTTTGGGGTGCAAGGGTGTTAGGGTTGACAGTGACAAGAAGTACTGAGGGCTGAGGGCTTAGGGTTCAAGGGTGTTAGGGTTCAGGGCCCAAGGGCTTTAGGATTTAGGGTGTTGGGGCTTCAGGCGCAGCAACTCAACACCTGGCCTCCCAGACTCCCATAGGCCCCCGAACTCCGTGTAACCCTGGCGTGCCCCCACAACGCGGCATCTACTCGACTGCACTGAATCCTAAACCCTAAACCCTAAACCCTAAACCCTAGACCCTAAACCCTAAACCCTAATCCCCTTAATCCTAAACCCTGAGAACTCGGCGCTGCAATGAAGGCCATCTCCTCAGTCTTAGGGTTTCGGACTTCGGGTTTCTGGGCTCTCAGGCTCAGTTGTGGCGGCTCTCCAAGCGGGGCGTTCAACAGTTGAGGAATGTTCATTGCTTCATGTTTGTTTTTTTTTTTTTTTTGGGGGGGGGGGGGGGGGGGGGGGGGGTTCTTTCATAGGGATTGTGCTGCATCCAGGGCTCTAAGTGAGGACGCACAAACATGTAGATTAAAAAAATCCCAAAGGATGATTCTTCTCTGCATCCAGAGGGTTGGACCCACACAAGGGACAGCTTGGGCACCAGCCCTGTGACTCGAAGATTCTTGCAGAATGAGCTAGGTTTTCAAAGGGGCCACCCTTTGTGGCGAAAGGGTGTAAGGCTGTAGGGGAACCGAACTCCCAACAGTGGAATAAGGGGCTACTCTAGTGAACTCGAAAGCCCCTCTGTGCGCATCGACTGCCCTTCACGCCCCGGCCTGCGTGATCAGGCCCTGCTTGGCGTAGTACATCTGCGTGCAAGTGCCGTCTTCCTCAGTCCGAGTGTGGACTTATGGTTGTGGCTTCAGTGTCTGCGATCGAGGGCTGGCAGTTTTTTGGGTTTAGGGTTCAGGGTGTTCCGTGCAAGGGGTTTGCATCTACAGCCCCTCAACAAGTCCTGAAACCTTGAACCCTAAACTTGAAAGGGACAACCCACGAGCGATGGTCATCTTCGCCTCAACTAGCGACACGAGCATGGCACCCCCAGGCACTGCCAAGGTCGGGGCGGCCACGTCACGACCTGTCGGGGCTTCTCAAGGCCAGAGTCAAGATCTGTGTGAGACACGATCGGGTTGAGGGGTGCAATGCGCAGCTAGTCGTTTGACCTTCGGGTATTGAGCCGCTGGGGCCAAAGATTATCATTCGCCAAGTCTGCTGACAGAGGCAGCGTGCGAGCTTGTGCGCAGAAGACCCTCTCCGGCTTGAGCGATTCCACGCTCATGCCATGTAAGGACTCATGGGTCTTTCGCCCCTGCACTGGGAGACATACCCGAAGCTTTGAACCCACAACTTACGACTGGGAGCGCCTACAAAGACCAGGAATGCCAGGCGCAGGTCCCAAAACCCACACCCACACGCCGCCCAGCTGAACCAAAGTTCAAGCCCCCAGCTCAGCACGAATCTCAAACCCGAAACGGACTACACGGGGTGGCCTTTGCCACCTTAGGTGGGAGAAGGATGGCTTTTTCCACAACCGGGCCATAGCTGCACTTTGCACCTTTGCATGCTACAAAGCGTATTGAAAGCATTCTGCGTCCTGACCTTCGCATCGGCGCCCAAACACCCCCCGAAGTCCCGAAAGCCCTGCAAGCAACCCGACAAAAAACTCCTTACGGCACGACCCTGCCCACGACCGGGGCCTTCGACCCACTCCTTCCGAAGCTTGGCAAGGCCTTTCTTGGGATCGGCGCCTCGGGGCCCACCGAAGCTCGGAGACCATGGGAGAAGGTGCAAGAAAACCCTGCGCGGCCACCTAAAGGCCCTCCGAAAGGCCCCCCTATTAAAGGCCCCAATAAGAAGGCACCTTAAAGGCTTAAGGCCCCCTTCTAGACGCCCTCAGCTCCGAAGACGCGGAACTCCTGGGGCCGGGGCATGCGGGCCCGCTGGTATCGTACACATCGAGGTGGTCGCAGCCGGGATCCTCTTGAAGTGCCGGAGGCTTTTGAGGGACTGGGTGAGAGTTTTTTGGGGGGATTGGGGGGTGGGAGTTGGGGGTTTGAGGTCACAGGGATGAGGGACGGCGCAGCCTGGGCTGAGAGCCCCCGTAACTTGATAGCTCCAAGAAAATTGTTGGAAGAAGCAGCCCTCGTAGTAGCTTGTAACTGCTCCACCTCCCCCAGCTGGTTCGTAGCATGGTCGCTAGCTGCAAGGGGTTCTCAGCTGATCGTGAAGACGACCCCCTCGTTTCCCCACCAACACATCTGTTGCAGTCTGTTGCACTCCACATCCTCGTCCGACAAGTGGATGCGGCGAAACGGAATCTTCAGCTTCTCGCCGGTGGCCTCGTAGGTGACCTCACACAGGGTCAGCTCTATCTAGATGTGTTGCAGTTACAGTGCTGCCTACAGACCCGTACATATGTGTGTATATATATATACATCAAGAGGGAGAAAAAGAAAGAGAGAGAGAGAGACGGAGAGAGAGTACCCAAGATGGGACCCCAATTCAGACAACTGACCATTAGGCTATATACCTAATCATGTTTTGACATTCTGGTAACTCGTCTGCATGAGAGACAGAACGATGCAGAATGTATTCCTGGGCATGGCTGAGGCTCAAGAAGAGCCGGTAGATCATGGCGGCTATCGGCTATAGTCCTGCTACACTGCTGACAGCCCATGATGGGCCAGTGAGATTGTAAAAGGTCCCCTGAACCCTAAACCCATCACAGCCCTCAACCACAGTAGCCAACCCCTGCCTCCTTGTAGATCTTCTCAGAGCCCGGGTATGCCTCCTTGAACCTCAGCATGTGCTCACCAGGTGAGGCCAAGCAGTTCAAGAGAAACACAAGAGCAGACGTCACAGACGTCCTCTTCCTTTCATGGCGAGCCCTCATTCCCCTAAGGCCCTAATAGGTGACCCGGGTAAACCTAATCCAAAGGGTGTTGGGGGTAAGATGCAGCCCGAGCCCGGTGATGGGTCGCGGGCTGGAAGGCATCTTTGAACTGCGGGTTGTAGGGGTCCTCCGGCGCGCAGGTTGTGAAGGCTTTCGATTTCGGATGGGCCACGAGGAACCTAGTTCTCTGCTGCTGACAATTTAGAGGCTCGGACAACCCAGGCTGTCGAGTGCGTGCTCAAGGCTTGGGAAGCTTTAGGAAACCCGGACTACGAAACCCGACAAGCGCACCTCTCCCCCGCCGTCCCGAACCCGAAACCCCTAAACCAAAGCTCTCTGGGTCCGACGTGGGACGGTTGGGGCGGCTTCGCGGCATCTGCCGGCAGAGGGTCCTGCGGGGTTCCGGGGGCGCACGACGATGATAGACAGAACAAGAAATTGCAACATCTAGTGGTAATGATGATAGGAAATCAAACAGCAATAACTACAATGACACTGACAATAGCGACCGCAACAACCATACGTAGCAATGCCCTCCAACCCTAAGCCCCACCCCTCAACCATACACCCTAAACCCCGCTCCCCCAACGACTCCAAAGCGACTCAATCCCAATAAGAAAAACTGCCCACCCCTTTCCCTAAACCTTCCATGTACAGGTGGGCAGTTACATTAACGTGAGCCCGCTTATGTACATTACATATATATATATATATATATATATATACTTCTAGTTCTATTTGTATTTATATTTATCTTTTTATTTGTAATTTTATTATATATTGATACTTGTTTCTGATTATATAGGGGAGACCACCCACCTACAACTAGCCTAGATCTACAGCCCCATCATATCATAAGGACCTCTCTTGACGTCGGCTTGTGGCGGCCACACCCGCTGCCACCAGCGCGGCCATCGCAGCCGGCGCAGTATCTGTTGCCGCAGGTCTCTTACAGCAGACTTGGCGAAAAAGGGCTGGGGCGGGGGGGTGAACTGTACGCCCGTAAACCCTAAACCCTAAACCTGAGAGCCGTAATTTAAGCATGGACGGTTTTTGATGCAGACAAATAATCGAGCATAATTCGTGAGGAGACTGTAGATAAGCGGCCCTAGGTTCCCGAAAATTTCCCGGAATCTCCACTCGCCCCTAAACCCCAAATCCTAAACCCTAAACCCTGAGAGCCGCCTCCCACTGTGCCGCTGGCCGCCGCACGCGAGGCACGCGGCGGCTGCGGCGCGCCCAGCACCGGGCCAGGGGGAGCCTCAAGAGACGGGCTTCAAGGGCTCGCATACATACACACATATGACACATGGCCGTGTGGATGTGAATATAAACAGTACTGTATGTTTATGTATATGTATATGTATATGTATATGTATATGTATATGTATATATATGCCAGTCTGTCTGCCTATATGTATGTGTGTGGGCCATGTGTGCATGTGTGCACGTATGTATGCGTGTATGTGTGAATGCGTGTATATGTGTGCATGTGTGTATGTGCGTATGCATGTGTGTGTACATGTCAATACGTCGACGTCTATACAGGCTGCTGGATTAGAGAGTTGCTTGGGTTACAGGGTCCAGTGATGACCTGAAATGTTTTTGTCCAAGCGCCGCACCTGCACGACTGTTGGGCTTACTTACCTCTCTTTCTCTCAGGGCCCGGCCAGCTACGACATGGAAGTTGAAGCTGCCCCCACCGAGGCCCCGGCAACAAACGCCTCTCCGAGCAATGCCATTGGGTAGAACCTTTCGAAAGGTCAACAAGCCCTACAGGACCAACAAGTCAAGGCTCCCGAGCTCGCAGGGTTTGCGCTGACTCTTGGTGAGCAGGGAATGAAGGAGGAGCAAGACACATGAAACTTCGTAAAAAGCAAGAAATCCACCCCACCATTCTTCGCTCCCCGGCAATGGACCCTCACCACATCGGAGCCCCAGAGCCAGTCGAAGCACCTCGAACCCGCAGACCGCCTAACCACCCCAACTCCTAAGCCTCTCTTTCCGACATCCCCAGTCCCAGATACCCCAAACCCTAAACCCTAAACCCTAAACCCTAAACCCTAAACCCTAAACCCTAAACCACAAACCCCAAACCCAGCCTTCCCGGCCTCTTCTGGACTTCTTTCTTAGGGGGAGCTGCTCCCTGCGCAGGAATTACCTGAGGAAAGCGTCTGGGTCTCTGAGGGGCCGGGGGGCTCATGGCGCAGGATTTCGGACTTACGGGCTCTACACCCTAAACCCTAGACCGCGTAAGAAATTCTTGAAGAAGGGTTCCGCCCTGCGTGCCAGAACTTCGAGCCGGTTCCCGGAACCCTAGCCAGAAAAGCTCCAAACCCGAAACCCGAGACCCGAAGCTTAGCCAGAAAAGCTCTAAACCCTAAACCCTAAACCCCAAACCCTAAGCCCTAAACCCTAAACCCTAAACCCAATTATAGGGGGAACCCCACCTTCGGGACCGAAACCGCTGAAACCACAAAAAAAAGAAACTTCATAGGAGCAGTTTCCTAAATTAGGGTTTTGTTCTTGGTACCCATCATAAGGCGCGGCACCCCTTTTAAAAGGGGATGCCAAAAAGGTGACCCTAATTAAGAGAGCTACCCATATCGGGCCGGAGAGGTCAGAAGCACTTGGGGTTTGCAGGGGGTTAGAGTTTAGGGCTTGCGGGGCTGCTCAGTGAAATTCCAACCCTAGAATCCCTAAATCCTAAACCCCTACACCCTAAACCCTAAACCCTAAGCCCTAAACGCTAAACCCCAGATCCTGCATCCTACAACTTCTACAACTTCTAACGGACCTGCAAGCTGGCAGATGAGGTGCCCTGGTCAGGTTCCGACGGTATGATCTCCTCAGTTGACGGCTGATTGCTTTAAGGCTCAGGGTTTAGGGTTTAGGGTTTAGGGTTTAGGGTTTAGGATTTAGGGTTTAGGATTTAGGGTTTAGGGTTTAGTATTTAGTATTTAGGGTTCCAGCCCAAATAGCGGCTAAAGGATTCCTACTCGACTTTCCAAGGCTCCTTGTACGGGGCTTCTGTAGACCCCAGACCGTAAACGCGAAATCCTACACCCGTTGTAATCCCTAAACCCTACCCTGAAACCCTAGACCCCAAAGCCGAAATGCGAAACCCCACACCCTTTGATACCCTATGCAAAGCCTCAAACCCGCAACCTCAAGCCAAGAGGCAGCAACCGGTGCACCCGTGCAGCGCCGACACAATTCGAGCCACTCCAGTGGGCGGCGGGGATGGCGCAGCAGTGCCACGTGCTGCTTGGAGCTTGTGGCTTGTGGCTTGTGGCTTGTGGCTTGTGGCTTCGGGCTTAGGGCTTAGGGCTTAGGGCTTAGGGCTTAGGGCTTAGGGCTTAGGGCTTAGGGCTTAGGGCTTAGGGCTTAGGGCTTAGGGCTTAGGGCTTCGGGAGTTTTGGGAGCTTTGGGTCTGGCAAGGGCGGTGGGGCCTGGGGAAAACCCAAGCCTCGAAATTCTTCGAGCTCCCTGCCCAGAAATGGGTGGTTCCCTAAGCTCCAAGCCCTATAAACCCTAAACCCTAACCCTAAAACCCTAAAGCCTAAACCCTAAACTCCCTAACCCTGAAACCTAAACTCTGAACCTTAAACGCCTTGAACCCTACCTAAGCCCCTAAACCCCGAAACCCCCTAAACCTCTAAACCCCTAAACCCCTAAACCCCCTAAACCCCCTCAACCCCTCAACCCCTCAACCCCTAAACCCCCTAAAACCCCTAAAGCCCTAAACCCCTACACCCAATCCCAAAACCCCAAACCCCAAAAACCCAAACCCCAAACCCCACACGCCTCTTTTCCCAGCTCTACCATGCCCGGGTCGTTAAAACTCCCGCGGAGCCACCGGTGGCCGGCAAGCGACTCTTGGCGCTGCCCTATTGGGGATTCAAGGTGGAGGGCCTAGGGTTTAGGGTGAAAGTTGAGGGTTTAGGGTTTCGGGTTCTGGGGTTTCGGGTTGAGGGGTGCGATTTCAGGCTTAGGGTTGAGGGCTTGGACGTTCCGGAAGTTCGGCTGCTCTGCTGT